CATAAATGCGACCTGTATATGATATCCTGATATCCTAACTACTTAGTTTTGTTAGCTGTAGAAATATTACCAAATGTTTAATTCAAAATGAAAATATGCCAAAAATATGACAAAATTGAAAAAAATATGAGAAAATTTTACAAAATCAATATTTTCATCTTTAGAGAGATATTTTTATGAGATTTTTTAGACGCTTTTTCTTTCCTGCCAAGAGGCCATTCTAAACTAATGAGAACTTTCGAAATCAGTTCAGCCGTTCTCGACATATAAGAGATTTTTCAAGCATATCTTCTTTGATAAACATATATATCGCACATATTTTGCTATAAATCCGTTTTGTTGGATGTTAACATCAATGTAAAGATCAGAAGTGACCTTGTCATGGCTTTGTGATTTCGCCGGGATTTAAAATATTCGCGGTTTAATGAAAATTTTTGAATTTTTTCAACACAAAAGATATGGTCTATTTTACCCGCTAAATGTTATCCGATGACCACCCAAATTGGTAGGCTTCTTCCCCGCCCTTAACTCTAGCTACATGCGAAATTCCGCGTCGATTGGTCTATAATTGCGACCTGTATAGCTACTGCAAAATCTGACATTTTTTCAGTATTTGGTCCATTTCAACCCCTAAACATTTGGCGATCATCTCCAAAAGAAATAGGGTTCTATTCTGACCCCAGTCCCACCTCCATTCTAAATTTCGTGAAGATCGGGCCATAATTGCGACCTGTAGAGTGATTACAAATTAACATGGACAGACGGACAGACGGACAGACGGACAGACGGACGGACGGACATACATAGCTAGATCGACTCAGCTCGGCGAGCTAGGAAGATCCATATATACTTTCCTATGTGGGAAACCAATATTTCGAGGTGTTACATAATTTTTGGGCCAATCAAACTTATAATACCCCCAACACATAGTGTTGTAGGGTATAAAAACCCATAAATTAATAGTTTTCTTAAAAATGGGTTTATCCATCAAGGGGGTCCAAACCCTTATCATCGGTAAAATTTTAGAGAACTGAGGGGTCGGAATGGAACTAAGTCGACCAAGACAGAGTGAGATAAACTGCAACAAAATCAAATGCCATAATTTTTACATTTTTTTTTTTAATTTTATTGAATGAAAGCAAAAAATGTCGGAAATAGCATCAAATTTAAGAATATGTTAAGATTTGTTCGAATTGGTCACTTTTGGCACGAATTATGGCCTTCAAACAGCCAATGAAACCGTCACACGCTGCCCAAATGTTGCTCTGCGGTATTTTGGCCCATTCCCGGCGAAGCGGTTGATTTGGTGATCGCCACTTTGGTATTTTTTAAGGCCAACCTTGCTTTCCAAAATACTCCAGAGACGCTGGAGCTCATTTTGTAACCATTCTTGGGTGGCGCGTGCTGACTGCGATGGTTCTGAGTCCTATTGGAATGTCCAAGGTCTGGGCGTGCCCAAAGCTTCCAGAATATTTTAGCGATAATATTCGGCATTTATTCTGATGCGATCATCGGCTGTTATGGTGGCCCACACCATGGCCGGCGCTTGAGTTCTGGTGGTCAACTGAAGGTCCACATTTTCAGAAATTCGGCAAGCGAAGCACCTCTTTACCTAGTTTGAGTCTATTTTCTTTCTGCTGCGGTGTATGTTCTTGCACTTTTTGGAATTTCAATGGCTTTACCCCGAGCTCATTTTTTCAATATTTGCCGAATGGAGTATTGCGATATATTCAGCTCAAGCTTACGTTTTTGTCATATTTCCCATTTAATTTTACCAACCTTTCAGGCCTTAAATCGGAAAAAGTCCGAGGAAAATTTGATAAAAAAATTATAGGAATATTTTCGTTTTTTTTTTTTTTTTTTTTTTTTTTTGAAAACATTGATGAAAGTAGTTTTTAGAAATGTAAATAGGGATTTCTTTTCTTTGGGGATTTATAGCTAAATTTAATAAAGAATATTTTTGTCTTTAAAGTCATCCTTCTAAAATTATGCTTTGTTGCAGATTTTTCGACAAACTTAAACAAAGAATGGCTTTAACCCCAAAATGACTCTTTAATATACATGAATTCCTTTCAAAAAGAATTTTTTACAATTTCAGCCCGAAATTCCTTTAATCTGAGGTGTTCTTCAAAATTTTGGATTTTCCAAAAAAAAATGGTATTTTCAAAATATTTCCACGTCCTCGAGTGTTTAAAAATAAACAACAGATTTTTTTGCTCTGATTATTTATTTATATTCCCCTCCAAATAAATATATTTGCTATTGTTATGCAAACGACAGAAAAACAAAAAATTCTTAGCCCATTTTGTGTTTTTCTGACCCAATTACAGCAACAATAACTTGGCTGGGTTGACAGGCCGGCAGGCAGACGGACAACATGATTGCATATTTTTTAGTCCATTGCACCAAACCCACAAAAACAACAACAAAAAAAAACAATACGGAAAAGAAACCACAAATTATTTAATGAAAAAATAACAACAACAACAAACACTTGTTGTTTTTTGTTTTTTTTTTACAAATCCCAAAACATAACCATAAATTTTGAATAAATGGGTGTAACTGTGCTGGATCCAATTTTTGCGCTCCGAAAGATTTCAATCACTCCCATTACGTGCTTAGCAAAACAAATACTGGTGACTTTTTCAATTCCCTCTTCAAAATGTTCAAAGAAATCAAATGACAATTGACATTTTCCAAAGCCACAACAACAACTAGAAGAAGGACGGGAAGGGGGAGAATGGTTGTTGTGCAAAAACTACATTGTAATAAAAAATATGAATTTATGTTTCTTATTCTGTTGTGGTATTGCATAAAACAATGCATTAACAACAACAACACCAAAAATTATAAATATTTATGATAGTCATAAATTCCCGATAAACAAAACAAACGCGATACCAATCACCAAACTTTTTGAAATCAAAGAAGGAGCGATTTTGTTGGTTTGTAATGAATTTCAAGAACAATAAAACAAAAAAAAAACAAGTAAGCAAAGGCTACAGTCGAGCGGGGCCGACCGTTTAATACCCTACAACACTATAATAAACCATACAGTTGATATAGGCGAGACACTCGAAAGAATTCCACAAGATTTTGTGACAAATAATAAAAGAAAACCATCAGGTTCCGTTCTCTAATTTTCGAATAACAGCAACTTAAAATAATTTGCTCATTTCCAATTTATTGGTAGATGTTGCACGTAAATGGTCTTCCTAGATCTGGAACCAATATTTCCCAAAGACCTATAATCTCTCAGAAGTGGCAAAAGATTATCATTTATTATTGGTTTTTGACTGAAACGCATCTATATGAGATACAGACATTTGACTATATTCTTCTACGAAATCAGCGTTAACGAAATCAGCGTTGTGAATTCTCCAAAAAGTCACTGGAATGGACATTTTCGTATTCTGTCTACAAAGGTTGGCAAACTATTTCGCACATTGAATATTTTTGGATGGCCATCCAAAACTGCTTGGCTTTTGCAATGTCCGGTAACCCCCATTTAAATGTGCGTGAGAGTCGGGCGATAATTACGACCTGCTGACAATTTTGCAGTTTTTTTGGTCCATTTCAACCCCTAAATATATGGCGATCATCTCCAAAAAGAGTAGGCTTCTATTCTGACCCTCATCTTATCCCCATGCAAAATTTCGTAAGGATCGGGCCATAAATGCGACCTGTATATGATATCCTGATATCCTAACTACTTAGTTTTGTTAGCTGTAGAAATATTACCAAATGTTTAATTCAAAATGAAAATATGCCAAAAATATGACAAAATTGAAAAAAATATGAGAAAATTTTACAAAATCAATATTTTCATCTTTAGAGAGATATTTTTATGAGATTTTTTAGACGCTTTTTCTTTCCTGCCAAGAGGCCATTCTAAACTAATGAGAACTTTCGAAATCAGTTCAGCCGTTCTCGACATATAAGAGATTTTTCAAGCATATCTTCTTTGATAAACATATATATCGCACATATTTTGCTATAAATCCGTTTTGTTGGATGTTAACATCAATGTAAAGATCAGAAGTGACCTTGTCATGGCTTTGTGATTTCGCCGGGATTTAAAATATTCGCGGTTTAATGAAAATTTTTGAATTTTTTCAACACAAAAGATATGGTCTATTTTACCCGCTAAATGTTATCCGATGACCACCCAAATTGGTAGGCTTCTTCCCCGCCCTTAACTCTAGCTACATGCGAAATTCCGCGTCGATTGGTCTATAATTGCGACCTGTATAGCTACTGCAAAATCTGACATTTTTTCAGTATTTGGTCCATTTCAACCCCTAAACATTTGGCGATCATCTCCAAAAGAAATAGGGTTCTATTCTGACCCCAGTCCCACCTCCATTCTAAATTTCGTGAAGATCGGGCCATAATTGCGACCTGTAGAGTGATTACAAATTAACATGGACAGACGGACAGACGGACAGACGGACAGACGGACGGACGGACATACATAGCTAGATCGACTCAGCTCGGCGAGCTAGGAAGATCCATATATACTTTCCTATGTGGGAAACCAATATTTCGAGGTGTTACATAATTTTTGGGCCAATCAAACTTATAATACCCCCAACACATAGTGTTGTAGGGTATAAAAACAAATTGGTTTCTTATAAATAATTAATTCACTAAATTGCTTTGCTGAATTACAAAATTACCATTCTTTGATATTCTTGTACGCCCATCAACATTAATTTGGGCAAAAAAATGAGAATTTCCAAAAAGTCATTCCCCTCCTTTTTTCTGGCAAATTATCAGGCCTAACTTCCAAAAAATAAAAAAATATTAAATGCGTGTACCATAATTCACTGTTATTACTACTTTTTATAAATAAAAAAATAGAATGTATTATTTTATAATTATTCGAGTCTGGCTTCTCCTGAATCATTACATTTTCGTCTAAAAAATTTGATAAAAATAGACAATTAACTTTAAAATAATTATTTTTTTTTTCTAATTTTCTTCATTTTTTTTTGCAGATTGGCTAACAACTCCTATCCCCATCTAAACTCCAATTAACCCCCACCTACAAAAAAAAGAACAACAACAACAACCAAAAAGACAGCAAAAATGATTTCACGTCGCAAGATTATTTCACGTTCTTTGGATAATTTGGATGCCATAGGTCCAAATACAGAAGAGGAAGAGGACGTCTGGTATGACAAGGAGAAATTATTTAGGGTAAGTAAAAAAAAATTAATTTCGCTAAAAATATTTTGAAAATATAGCCCAGGAGTATAGTTTAGAACATTTTCTAGAACATAAATATCCTTTAGAAATATTGAAACAAAAAATGTTTTGAAAAAAAAAAAATAAACAAATTTCACAATTATTTGATTTTAAAAAGATTGGAAAAAAATGGCCAAGACCCATGGCTATAAAAAAAATATATAAATAATGCTGGAACTACATTGGTAACACTGCGCAGCATAAACAAGTAAAAAAAAAACATTAAGTTCGGACGGGCCGAACTTTTAATATGCTCCAATTTAGGGTAAAGGAAACATTAGAACCCATAATGACCCACAAATACCAATTTTTAGATTTATTCATGGGAAAATGTGACAAAAATATACCGAATATGGGGAGGTACCGCTATATGGGGCTATACAAAAATGGGGACTTATATATACAATGTTTCAGGAGCTAGAACCCATTAGGACCCACAAATATCAATTTTTAGAAAAATCCGCGAAGAAATGTGGCAAAAATCATCAAAATACCGAATATCGGGGGCTATACCAAATCGTGGCTATACCAAATCGTGGACTTATACATGCAATGTTTCGCCACCAGAACTAGAACCTATTATGACCAACAAATACCAATTTTTAGAAAAATCCGCGAAGAAATGTGACAAAAACCATCAAATTTCCAAATATCGGCAGGTGCCGTTATATGGGGGCTATACCAAAGCGTGGACTTATACATGCAATGTTTCGCCACACGAACTAGGATTCATTATGGCCTCCAAATACCAATTTTCAGAATTTGAGGAGAATTGGAGGCTTATTTCGCCTTATATGAACCTTTTCTTATTTAAAATGTTGACTCCTTTGTGAGGTAGGTAAGAGAAGGAGAAGACCGATATCTTCACACCAGTTATTTTTTTTTTTTTTTGTTAAAAATATTGGGAATTGCGATTTGAAGACAATCGGACCCTCAGTTCATTTTATAAGCGTTGCGATTTCTGATCCTTTGTCGGAGAGGTACCAGAAATAGTGAGCCTAAATTGTCATTTTCACACCTGACCTAGCACTGAAAAATATTAGGATTTGCAAAGTTTAAAAAAGATTGGAGGATCATTTCTCTATGAGTCTTCTTCTATGAGTTTATTTATTTTCTTGGAGAATTTTAACCATTTTTGCGGAAGGTACCAAAAGTAATGGACCAATATTGACCATCTCCCAACTCGATATAGGTTTGATAATAGTATTACTTATTTCGACAGTTACCGCACCGCGCCATACAGACGGACATACGGGCACTGCTAGATCGACCCAAAATGTCCAGAAACGGTTTTGGTCCAAAGAGTCATGGGGTCTAAAACCATTATTTCGATGAGACGATTTTAAAATCACTGTTAGTTTTATTTAAAAAATCGAAGAAAAAGAAAAATATTTCAAATTTCGGGTGTTACAAAAAAATTATTTTTATTTAATTATTTAATTAAATTAAATTAAAATTTAAAAAAACATTTAAAAACCCTTACAAATGTCTTTAAATATTAATTTGTTAACACTGCTTGCCATTTCAATAATCTCTTTTTCTTTTATATTTTCTCTCTCTCTCTCTCTCCTATCTCTCTTTTAGGATCACATTAATGAAGTTCTGAGCAAATGGGAACAAATCGACGATGAGATTTGGGCTAAAATCATTGTATTCGAAAAGAATCGTCGAGTTGCCAAGGCCTATGCCAGATCGTCGGTGATTTCCATAAACGGTTCTAAACAAGGATTCGATGGCGTCAGGTGGGTATTTATTCATATATTTTTGTTATATTGTATATTTAGATATGCTTTTGATCTTCAATATTTAATGTCTACTCTCTCTCGTCTTCCCCTCCAGAATTGGCTTAAATGGTTTCGATAATCCCATGCGTGATTCCGAAATAAAGGTCATCAAAAAGTCCATTGGCGATGGATTCAAAATCAAAATGGATGAAATTGGCAATGTGTTCATCAAGCGTTATGGCAAGAGCGGGGTATTTGTGCACAATACAAGTCAAACCAATGAGGAGACGGTAATTGGGGCAGATATTTTGCAAATGCCCAATATGGCCCTGCAGTCGGGCACCTCGGCCAAGGTAAGGCAACACTTTCTTGGAATCTATTTATTTTGATTATTAATTTATAATTATTTTTATTTTTAATGCAGCTCTTCGATATGCGTAAATTCACCACCAACATTAATCGCGAAATGGGCCGTGCCTATCCTGAGAGTTCTCGGTTGCAGCGTCAATGTCTATCTGCCATATCGTTGGTCAAATCGAATAATAATCTAATCAATTGTCCACTGTGGATACTGGTCATTAATGTCGTAGCCATCGATATGCTTAAGAATCGTTTACAGAGCCTGCCCAAGGCCATGACGGGCAATGGCAGCGAAGATCCCTATTCGACAATCGAAAGTCAAGTCGGCCTAATATATCCAACACCTGCAGCTTCAGATGATTCGAATGCCTCGTCGAATTCATCTAGTAAGGGTAGACGCAGTCTATATAATATTGGAAATTATTTGGATGATAGTCCCTATGTGCCAAAGGTAGGTCAAGCGCAAAAAGAAAAGTTTTCAAAAAAAATTAAAAAATTATAGAAATACTAAGAAAATCAAGCAGATTATGAAATTAAAACTAAAAACAGAAGACTCGAGTTTCGGCGTTTTGAAAATGTACCTAGCAAAGTAACCTAAATTGAGGGGAAAAGTTCCCCTCTTCCACACTTTTGGAAATGTTCGGAGTAGAATTTCTTGGAATCCGCAAATTTTAGGTATATAGTGTCTTTGGCAATTTTAAAGATAACAATACGAGGAATATATTGGCCAAAAAATTATAAACCTCGAACAAGTCAACAAAGGGGTCTTTTTGGTTCTTTTTTAAAAATATGGTTAAAAACTCACTTTAAACGACAGCATAGCAAGTCAACATATTCTACAAAATTATTTGTCATATAATTCTTCTATAGGTCCTAGAAGACATCAAAAGTCTAAATCTTAGCTAAACGCCGGAAATTCATATATACTTAAAACACATATTAGGGTTAAAACCGTACTTTGTGTGAGTTTGGGCATAAATCTCCATCTAAGCATCGTTTTAGAAGGATTACGTCAAAGACAAAAATATTCTTTATCAAATTTCACTATAGGTTACCAAAGAAAAGAAATCTCTATTTTCATTATATATCAAGTAAATATTTATTTCAATGTTACCAAAAAAAAACTAAAAATATTTCCCAACTTTTTTCTATCAAATTTCTCTCGGACTTTTTTCTAGTCTGAAAGTATTATAAAATTTCATTTTAGGCGAAAGTTGTCAATAGAAGAAATATTCTACACCGAATTTCACTATAAATCTCAGAATGAATCATATATCTAGGTACAATAGTTTTTATAAAAAATTATATTCAAAATGTATGTACCAAAAGTAAAAATAATATCTTTGCTTTTTTATACTGTTGATTTAACACAAATCCAATCCGAGTGAAATCTCCCTTCATATTTCACTTTTTTGGAAAAATTCTGAAGGGAAATATTATTTTAGATCAAATTTCATTGCGAGTCTCAGAACAAAAGAAATTTGTATATTCAATACGTACCATGAAAAAATAGCAGTTCACCACTTTCGGCCAAGCGAAGCAACTCTTTAGCTCTTTTGAGTCTATTTTCTTTCTATGCGGTGTAAGTTCTTGGACTTTTTGGAATTTGAATAGCAATGTCCCGAGCTTTTCAATATTTTACAACATTTTTCAATATTTGCCGAATGGAATATATTCGGCCACTTCAACGCGGGTTTTGATCAAGTCGCTTCTTTACTTTTCGAACCATTTCTGCTGGTGTTGCTGTTTTCTTCCTTCCTCTTCCTTAACGTCGAGCTACGCTACCAGTATCCCTGTAACGAGCGATGGTACGAGACACAAAAGATTTATTCACATTTAAATGCTGGAGTACTCTAACGATAGCCACTTGTGGCTTTCGAGCCAAATATAAAGAAATCACACTATCACGCTTGAATTCCATCACGAATAACTTTTTTTCTGGAAAATTCTCACCAAAATGCATTTTTACCCTTGTAAACAATATAATGAGCTGTCACTGGAATAATTTTAACAGCTGTCGGACTAGTGGCTTAGAAGTGACAGCAGTCTGCAGCTGGTTTTTCCCTGTATTGTTTTGACCCTATACAAAGGGACCCTCATAGTTTGAGATATAATTCGTAATATTTAGAATTGAGCTTTGAGATTTGATAGAGATCTTTGGATTAAATCATTGGTACAGAAAATGAGTAAGAATAACTCCGATTTGAAATATTTTTTCTGCAATATTGCCCAGGACACTATATATATAAAATGCATGGATTCCGAGGATTCTTAATACGAAAATTTCCAAAAGTATTGAAGAGAGAGGAACTTGCTGCCTCTATTTATGTTACTTTTCTATGTAAACTTTCAAAACACCGATACTCGGGTCTTTGTAGCTCTACTTTCATAATCTGCTGAATATTCTCCGTAATTGTAAAAAAATTGACTTTTGTCGCACAGTGTAATATTCCAAATGTTAGAAAAAAATTTATTTTTTTTAAATTTTCCTCTTTTCTCCTCCCTCCCTTCCAGCCCGATTATGAAATTTATAATCAATCTGTGCCAATACTAGGCGTTAAGAACAAAAAGTCATCAACGAACTCGTCATCGACACAGCAACGCAAGAAGCAAGATGACCCCTACTATTGTGGCCTGCTGGCACGCATTCCCAATTTCATCAAGACCTCAAAGAGTTCCAATTCGAATGGCAGCAGTAATGCCAAGCTGAGTAAAAAAGAAGCCAAAATTGCACGAAAAATCTCAGCATCGCAACAGCAATTGGCAAATTTGCCACAGCAGGCACATCCGCTGCCCATTGCACAATTCCATCAGCAAAGTGTTGGCTACAATTACTATCCATATCGGCTCTACTCACAGAATCATCGTTTGTCACAGTCCCAGCTGTCGCTGTGGGATTCGCGCAGTTTAATTAGTGCGCATGGTAAGAACGCTTTCAAAAATTACCTAAAGATTTGCTAATCTAATAAAAATTTCCATTTTTTTGTAGAATAAACTAATATTGAAAAGGTCCTGCCCAGACGTAGACCGGTGGTATGCATGGAAGCATTCGGTTTTTTTTTTTATTAACTATTTATGTAATTTGTTTTTAATTTATAGTCGTCTTTATATCATAATTTATGTTATTATTAATTTTAAGCAAACAAATTTTATAAAAAAATGAAAAATATCAATTTTCATTTACAATAAGGAACCTCCCTTTCTATGTTGTAAAAGAATCCTTAAATATTTGAAATTCATAAAACAACCCAACATCTATGTGATTATAACAATAAATATTATTATTATTATTTTTTAATTGAATTAAACTAAGCCCAAAAGCTCTAGCACAAAGCTTTTGTCTAAGAGTTATTTTAATTAATATTTAGAAAAAGAAAAAATAAATGCAATTTTTTTACACGAAATAATACTCGTCATATATTCTTATTATATTTAATAAATATAAAAAAATTATAACAAATAAAAAACACACATATATGCATACATATATAAGTCATAAAAATATTATTATTTTAATTATATATCTACTTATATTGCCATAGTTTTTTTTTGTCTTATGTATGTTCGTTTGTTTCAATTTCGTAATTTAATTTTTAAGACTGAAAAATGTCCTGTTCATTTTATGATTATTTTTTTTTAATAGTATATATAAAAATATATGTATGTATGCTGCGAGTAGGCACAAACCAATATTGAAAAAGAATCTGGTTTTGTGTTTATTTTTTTAAAGGGATATTTGTTTTGTTATCTGAAATTTTTTTGTTTCTCTTTGTAAATATGTGAAAAATTATGTTTTTGGATTTAAAAAATAAAAATATTGTAAATAATATTCAAGTATGATATACAAAACACACAAAATAATCACCATAAATTTAGCAGTATATAAATACTTAATAATATATCTATTTTTATAAAAGAATACAACAAACTTAAGTCGATACGATATATCTATATTTTATTTATAATAAATGAAAGTCATACAAAATGTTTAAATGTTGTGTTTTGAGTTTTTTTTTATTATTATTATTCTTAGACCTTTCGAGAAATATTTTAAAACTGATGCCGAATCCTCCATCATAGACAAATAGGTTTTCCCTAAAATTCCCTAAATTTGGGGATAGTATTTTATAAATATTTAATAATTTCGTCGGATGGTTACGAATTCAGTTGCAAATTCTTCTGGGACCTGCCATCCCATATCATTGCTCAAATTGAACAACAATGTAATCAATTGCCCATAACGGCCAACTAGTGTGGAATCCATCAGTCGAAAATATGATCAGGGCCTTCTAGACACCAATAAATGGCAGTGACTATTCGAAAACCTGAATCTGTATTGAATCATTTTCAGGAGGAATTGCTCTACTTTATTAAGATTTCACAACGCCAACTTTCAGTTACTTCGTTCAAACCATCTCAAATCGGTCGCTTTATGTCAAAATATTGAGGCATATTGAACCAGTAAAGGAATTCGAACCGCCCAACTTTATGATACCCTAAACCACTTAGCATATTTAGTAGAGCTTCACATAACAAATAAAAGTTGTTATGGGAAACTTGTGAGAATTAAATCATACCAACTATGATTATAGTTATAATAAAAACGAGCTAATTTATGAGAGGAATATCCTCCTCTGAATCGATTACTACTAAATTTGCCGAGGCATTTGTGCCTTTTCAATTCGGGTGCACAATTAACTTTAAATCCCATTTGGTGCACAATTAACTTGAAATCAGATAGAGATATATATGGGAGCTATATACAAATCTGAACCGATTTCGATAAAATTTGGCAAAGGTATTTCTGAGCTGTATTTGATATATTTTCCCAAATTCCTCGCTTCATTTCCAGTGCACAATGGCCACCAAAATCTCCGGATACCAATCCGTTGGAATGTTGTGTCCTGAGAATTTTGGAAAGAAAGGTTGGCACTAAAAATTACCAAAGTGTCGATCACCTCAAGCAAGCGCTTCGCCGCAGAGCAACATTCGGGCATCGTGTGACGGTTTCATTGGCCGTTTGAAGGCCATAATTCGTGTCAAAGGTGACCAATTCGAACAAATCTAAACTTATTCTAAAAATTGATGCCATTTTCGACATTTTTGCTTTCATTCAATAAAATTAAAAAAAATGTAAAAATTATGGTGTTTGACTTGGTTGCAGTTTTTTAATCTCACCCTGTATATGGGAACTATATCTAAATTTTAAGCGATTATCTCCAATTTCAATAGGGTTCCAGGCCTAGCCAAATTGGCTTAGAATTTTTCACATATAGAGTATTCGGCGAATATTAACAAGTAAAAAAGCAGTTAAGTTCGGCCGGGCGAAATTTCAGTACTTGAAAATTTTTAAAAATGTTTCGTCGAAAAATACCGGCTGAATGAAAACCCTTATATGGGGGATACACGAAGACGAGGGCATGCCTAAGTATTTTTTGTCATTGGCAGTATACCGATTTCAAAGTTCAAATACGGTATTTGAAACAATTCCGGTGAATAATGTCGCTTATATCATCAAAATATCGAATAAAGGGAGATACCGCTATATGTGGGCTATACTAAGGCGTGGACCTGCGTAGACAATTTTCTGTCATATGTTGTGGTAGATCTTTATCTCATTTAGATCTTCAAATACGGAATTTGAAACAACTCCAGTACCGTGGGAGATACGGTTATATGGGGGCTATATGAAAACGTTGACCGACATGACCCATTTACGAACATAACTTACTTTGCTCACTGGCAAAATGAACATGTGTGCAAAATTTTAGCCTTCTAACTCATTTTACTCGAAAGATAGCGTGATTATAACAGACAGAAGGACAATGAGGAGCTACAAACGGAATGTCAAAGTTAATATACCCTCCATGGTAAGGGAGGCTATACAAATTTAATGTCGGAAAGTATAAAAATGGCGCAGTAAAGGAGGGCCTTATTCGACGCCAAAATTTGTCTTTAAAACATTTAATTTATTTCAAAATACAATTGAAAATATACATCTCGTCGACTTTATAACAAGTATCACATTGAAACTTTCGTAATATTAAATAATTAAATTAAAAAATTGACTAGAAACATAACCACATTAACTATGTTGTACTATCCTTTACATTGCTTTGTTCTGCTGCAGGCTTAGGAATACTTTTCTCTTTTGGCAAATCATATGATGATTCGGAATAATATCTCATATATGCCAAGGCCGAAAATAATATAACGCACGTCAGCACTATTTCTTTTTGCAATATTAATAGCTTATTTCTCTCCTGTTCCTTATTGTGGTCATATTTCTCTTTGGCCGTTTGGCGGCGTTGAAACGAATCACCATAATGTTGGCGAGTCCATTCGTCAAAATCATACATTGGTGTATGACCCCTACTGTCCGATACTTTTGATTTGCGGAAACGTGATTTATAGAATTTCGTTGAGGCGTCATCTGGTGTCTCGGCCGTTTCATGGGCTTTCTGGGCATATTGTGGACCAGCTGTGTGAAGAATACCTTCGAATAGAATGATAAATTAAATAACGGTTCGAGCCATGATATATTCCCTGACTACTTACCCTTGTCATACAACTTCCTTAGTCTAAAATTCCCCAGGACCTCATAGGCTTGTGTAATTTCCCGAAATTTTAAAGCTGCCGATTCACTTCCTTGATTTTTATCCGGATGATATTGCATGGACAGACGATAGTAGGCAGCCTTTACTTCCCCCTGCGTGGCTTTTGGTGTTATGCCCAAGACATCATAGTGGGTGGCACGGTTAACAGCACCTGTTGATATGCTCCTTGCATGGTTCACAAGTAAAATATTGCGGAGGAATACAGGACAGAGTGATTTATTTAAGGACATTGTATAACATTGCCCACCAAAAATCCACCAATATCGTTCGTAATAATACAAAGTAGGCAAGCAAATCCACCGCCGTGCCATGTATGAAGCAGAAAACGAAACGAAATTTGCAATAAAGAGCAGAATAAAAACAAAAATGAAAGTATTTGGTAAGGGTTAGCTAGATTGAAAAGCAAACAATATGGTTCAACAGTTCGTATTTGCAGGGAATGGAAGTTATGCCACGTGGCAACACATCATATCTATGTAAAATTGTAAAATTATTGATTTTTTTCTGCAATATTTTTTGAAACTTTCTTTTTTGTCTGCACACTAAATGTTGTACGCCTCGTGTAAAATTAAAATTCGTGCTAGTTCTCAAATATATATATACAGTTTCTTTATACAAATAAATTTTTCTAAATATTTTCTAATTAGACCGTACTTCTTCAAAAAATGCAGCGAATCGTTAGGAAACTGTCAATGGTGAGCGCTACCGTGAGTTGATTTCCATCTTTGTTTTGCCCAAAATGCAAGATCTTGACTTGAATGGCATACTGTTTTCACGTAAGGGGCCACCTGGATCGTGAAATTTAACACATTTAGACGATTTCTTGTGTGGCTAGGATAAAGCTCATGTCTATGCAGACGAGCTCGCTTCAGTTGACGCATTGAAACACAACATTGAAGAATTTATTCGTGAGATGCCGACCGAAATATTGGAAAGGACAAATGGAACATTTGAGGCAAAGTTGAAGTCAATATTTGCCTAAATTAATCTTCAAACATTGAACAATTCAAAAAAATGTTCGTATGGAGCTTAAAAAATCACCCGTTAGAAACACACATGGTACAATAAAAATGTAAGACAGAGCTACCAGCTGATTATAATTTTTTTTCTAAGTGTGCCCGACTTCTGCCAATTTTCTGTATGTATTTATTGTTCTGAAAAATAAAAACAGAATATTTTCAAAATCAATGATTGCAAGACGCGTACAGTGCGAGATGCGCATTAAAGCTATTCGCCAATTTTACCATGGAATTGAAAGCTAGAACTGTTTAGTTCATATTTTTGAAAGAAAATCCAGGAAAATCATTTTAAAAATGAGAAAAAATATAAAAAAAATTAAAACAACTTGTTGCATATAATTTTGAATGAGTGTGACAGGAAGCGGGCATATCCTCAGGGCTGTATTTCTGTAATTTTACGAAGCTTTTCTACCTCCTTATTGTACCATGAAAACACACATGTTTGATCATTGGATGCATACTGTAAACACATTGACACAGCTGCTGGTACAATAAAAACTATTTTTGAATTCAGAATTTTAAATGAAAATTATTCAAATTATTTAAAATTGTTAAAGTGAACGGTTCATAAAAACCGCCGAAAGGCATCGTATAAGAAACATTCAAATATCTACTTATTGTTGAACAAATTTTTTGAGTATTTAACATATCAATGTTCCCAAGCATTGATTCGGAAGTAGAATAGCAAAAAGGAGGTAGAGTAGATTTGTAAAACTACTGAAATACCGCCAGATTTTTATCAGAATTATTTACAATTATTTGCAACAATTTACTCTCATTTCCTTGATACTTTTTGAAATGCGTTTATATTCCCAAAAATGAATAGAAAGCCTTTATTTTATTTCAAAAACATTATTCGATGGTAGAGAATTAACACTTAGGAACATTAATATGTCAAAAAATAAAATAAATGTTTGAGTTTTGCCTTGTTAAGGCGAAGATCATATGTTTTATGATTTAAGTGTTTGTTTTCTCTTTCGAGACGAGCTTAATGATCTGAAATTTGCAGTGAAAAGGAAAGCCAGATAGACACTATCACACACTCACCACTATGCGACGCGTTTCGCCGTTGGTTAAGCGGCTCATCAGGCATATTTGATGTGGATGATGGCTTACAAGGGCCGTTCTCTGGAAAGTAGTATATATTTCGAACTTATTGCAAATTAGCATATGCGAATTATACACTAGAAACTCTCCAGGTTCGACTCAAGTTCTATTGGCAGATCTTTTTCACAGCAACGTTTTGTTTTTGTAGTGATGGATTTTTTGTGAGTGGTGAGTGTGTGATAGTGTCTATCTGGCTTTCCTTTTCACTGCAAATTTCAGATCATTAAGCTCGTCTCGAAAGAGAAAACAAACACTTAAAATAAATGTTTTTTTTTCAAATATAAGTATTATTATTTGTTTTCTTATATGAAGTCATTCGGAGCTTATTATAATTCCCGTTTTTCAACAATTTTTACAAATTAAAATAGTTTTTCATTCAACATTCTCAATTCCAAAAATGGTTTGGTACCTTTTCCTTACCTTTTTATTTTACCACGTGCTTACTTGCAATTTGACGTGTTGCAAGTCCTCCTTATTTATATATTTCACAGTGCAGTGTGAACAACCCTAGGTGAATACCAAAATTTACATCTTGTCAGCTATAGACAACACTGTGTTTGCATTTGGCAAAGGCTCAACTTCGATGCGATAAAAAAACTATTTTTTTACTATTAGATGGAAAAACTCAAACAATTTTTGTTTTCCAAGTGACATTTGGATTACTAAGTGAGATAAACATAATATTCAGGTAAAAAACAAATATAATTTTATTTTACCTTAATACGGTATAATTTGAAATTTAATACCCTTTGCAGCAACACTGAGACGCATCATATTTTTGAATTTTTGCTTGTGGAACTATCAGTCAGTCAAACTGAGAAGAAAAGTGCATTGCATTTGGAGGAACGTTGTTTTGTGAAACAATAGAACAAATACAATTGTTATGAAATCGAAGTCTTGATCAAATCAATAATAATAAATAAAAATGGATCGTTTTGTAACGCGAGCACCCACATGGAAAACTGTGAGCTATGGTAGTGTTGTGGCCCAGGCAAATAATCGAAGCGCCAATTCCAAATATCCTTCCTCGGCGTCTCAACAACTAAAGAAACCTTTACAACAGAAACAATTAGGGGAAAATGGCATCAAACCTAGCCAAGATTTTGCTGGACGTCTTGTGGATATTTTTAAACCCTCAACAGCAAATCACGAAACATTAAATATCAATGGAAACAGCAATGATAGCGGCCTAAGTAGCGCCTCAAGTATATCGCCACCCCAACATCAGATGGAGGAGAATATGTCGAATGTGGTTCACATGAAAACGCCCACGAAGAATAAATGTTTGGGTAAGTTAAGAAAACTTATATTTTTTTCTAATTAAAATAATAGTTTTGATGTAAAATATGTGAAATTATTTAAAATTGGAAATCGCTTTGTTTTGTTTGTGTACTAAATTATGAAAAATGTGTGTACTAAAATACTTGTCTTCCAAATTGGGTGGTTGGCAATTCAACCTTTGTTTTTTTCTCTCTGAGAGATACCTTTACATGTGTGTGCAAGAATGATGTGGATAAGAGAAGAAAATAAATTTGACGTTTATTGACAGTTATCATTAGGAAAAAACGAAGGGGGAAATAAATTATAAACAAGTTTTTTGTTGGTCGTGAAAAACGCACAATAACATTGAAAATTAATCTTGAGAAAAAAGGAATAATTCTCATTACCAATACAGGCAAACTGGGTGACTATGTCGATGGTCGGGAGGAGAAGGAGAATGACACATACATGACCCTCAACCGTACACCTAAATCCACGAAGAAGGCCATTGAAAGCTGCAAAGTAGCTGCTGGTCTCAAAGAAAACACTCCAAGTAAACAGCTACCTCAAACCCCCAAAGTCAATAAACCCATAACCACAACAAAAACAAATACTGAAAAAGTCACTCCCTCTAATAATCCAATGTTAATGGCACGTATTCAAAGGGATCTCAACAGCCCCTCGGCCTCAGTTCGAGTAAGGGCCCTAAAAGCCATAACGTAAGTAGATAATGGTGTTACTTAAAACCCCTAGATGATACAACAACAACTATTTCGTTACAGCTCCCCCACCAAGTCTCCCTATACCCATTTTGATGTTCCCGAAGCTGAGCAAAGTCTGAACTTTTCCGCCGTTCAGGATCCACCTGATATCAAGGAAGTCATGCGAAATGTGGTTGTCTATGTGGAAGTCCGTTCGGGGGAAGACAATCGTTCAGATGGTGTGCGTAAAGTTATTGAAGCGCTGGGCGCTCGTGTTAATCTAAAATTGTTGCGGTAAATGAAAGAGTTTGCAAACTTTTTGGCGCGAAACTTCTAAATAATATATTTTCAACCATTTTTTGTTTCACAGTGATACAACTCATGTCGTCTTCAAAGATGGCCTAATGTCCACATTTAAAAAAGCCCAACAATGGGGCATACCCATAGTTTCCATATTATGGATTGAGGCGTGCAAAACTAAAAATCGTATATGTGATCCCAAAGACTATCCCATATCGAATTTAGATCGTTATGAGAATCCAGAATTGTATACCAAAATGAAGGTAAGTGAAAATGTGATTTTTTATAATTCGATCAAGAAATTTAATTGAGTTGCGTTGTATATTTCAAGGTCATTTGTGTAATTTCCTACACTGGTCTTAGCCTTCGTAGAATATTTATATATCTATTTTGACTCGGGGACATTGAAACCTAAAAATAGAAAAAAATAAAATTAATAGTTTTTGTTACTATAGACAGATATCAACAAACCATTCAACTCAACAAAACTTTGTGGACAAGAAATTTTGAAATTGTTTAGTTGACTAGATCAATTAATGACAGTCGGTTCGATCGTATGTTCATCTTAACGTCGTCAGGTAACTGTGAACGCTGAATACAGTAACTTATAAGCAATTTCATCCAATTAACCAAACCCAAATTTCCTCCAAGTTTCTGTAAACATCTATCGTCAAAAATACAGGGTGAGATAAACAAACTGCAACAGAGTCAAATGACATAATTGTAATTTTTTTAACTTTCATTGAATGAAAGCAAAAAAAGTCGGAAATAGCTTCAAATTTTAGAATAAGTTTAGCTTTGTTCGAATTGATCGCCTTTGGCCTTCAAACGGCCAATGAAACCGTCACACGCTGCCCGAATGTTGCTCTGGGGTTTTTTGGCCCATTTCCGGCGAAGCGCTTGCCTGAGGTGATCGAAACTTGGTATTTTTAAGTGCCAACCTAGCTTCCCAATATACTCCAGACACAATAGGCCAACGGATTGGTATCCGGAGATTTTGGTGACAATTGTGCGCTGGAAATGGAGCGAGGGACCTCACCCATTCTTGCTTGGCGCGTGCTGGGTGCGATGGAGCTGAGTCCTGTTGGAATGTCCAAGGTCTGCGTCCAAATATTTGCGTGCGCAAGGCTTTAATACACGCTCCAGAATATTTTCGCCATAATATTCGGCATTTATTCTGATGCGGAGAGCGACCATCGGCTGCTATGGCGGCACTCACCATCACCATGACCAGCGCTTGAGTTCTGGTGGCCAACCGAAGGTGCACATTTTCAGCTGATCTCTTTGGAAGTAAACACGATAATTTTGTTTTTTTACAAACACTTGTGATTTTCCAGCCAAATATAAGGAAATCACACTATCACGCTTGAATTCCATCACGAATAACTTTATTTCTGGAAAATTCACACCAAAATGCTTTTGTACGCTTGTAAACAATACAATGAGCTGTCACTGGAATAATTTTAACAGATTTCGGTCGAGTGGCTTAGAAATGACAGCAATGTGAAGTTGGTTGCAATTTTTTTTATCTCACCCTGTATAAAGATGTATATCGGACGGTCTGAGTAAGAGTAATTGATGTATTAACAATTAGAGTATGAATGTCATCCTCCGAGTCCACTCCACCCAATGCAGTTGGAGAACGCCGGCTGCCTAGAAATATGGGGTTAATTTTGGTATAACTATGTTCAGAATTTTACAGTCATCTAAATTCATATTGGGACAGAATTGATGAAGATGTGCGAAATCTTTTTTATATACCCCACTTGAAACCGAAGAGTTAGAACCTGATTAAAAAAAATTAAAATGCAACATGTTTTGCTGTTACAACAAAACGATGAACTATAAATACTGTCGGTATTGAAATATCGGGTCAACCAATGTTACATCTAATGTTGGGCTTATTTAGTAAAAGTCTTTTTAATATTTATTTGAAAAATATAGGTTCGTGATAGCCCGGCAGGATTTAAAAAATAATGCCAGCTATCAAAACTATTGAATTGGACAACCATTTATTTAATCTTTGTTTTGGCAACATTTTTCAATTTTTCATGGAATCGTTTCAGGATGCAAATAATTCAAATAGTTCAACTATGGTTTAGGTGTGTTGTAGCTTGGCAGGCTGTCAAAACTATTGAATTGGACAACCATCGTCAACATTTTTGCATATTTGAAAGTTGCAAGTTTCATAAAAAGCCCCAAGATGTAAACAATTCGAATAACTCAACTATGCCTACAAATTCAGGATACTTCTAATATCTCCATACATAGGACCGTGGTACATAATGACAGTACGTTAAAAAACTCGTGATTCAATAATGCTCACAATGTACCTGGTTCTGGTTCATCCATTAAAAATCAAAAAAATTATAATTAAATCGTTAGTCGTAAACCATTTTTGTTACTATGTCCATTTCACTTTGAAGATGTCATATTACCACAATCATTTTGTGTAGGGCATTGTTTGCTATCAATTCCTGCCAGTCATGATTAAAAATGCTGTTCTTCCTCCGGTAAGACAAAAACATTTATCTATTAAATTATAACTTAGATGACATTTACACCAAAATGACGTTTTCGATGAAAGTTAAACGTGACCTTGTACCATGTTAATGACTCTGTCTCAGCAGTATTTAAAAAGCATTTATGTAAATCTTGTTTTTACCCACGTGAAAACACAAAGCAGATCATACAACCGAAAAGTATATATTTTTTTTATAATTTATAATTATAAGATAGAACGCTGTTGTTTTATGTACATAAAATGAGACATTAAAAGTAATCTTATCATAAATTTACTTTGAAATAAAAATGTTCTCGCACATGCGCTAAGCTCCTGATGATTAGGTACTTGTTAAATGTGTCAATCATTTGGTAATGTTTTAATTTTTTAAAAAGGTAAAATTGAAAAAAAATGATTTTAAATAGTTGGTTTAGCGAAAAGTTTTTGATAATTTTTTGAGTTTTGGTAATAATAACATATTGATAAAAATAACGGTTTTTCTTCTTACTCAATTTATTTAGTATAAATCATATTTTTTTCTTTTAAGTGTAGTGATAAGCAAATTTGACATTTTTGAGGACTTAATGAACAATATTTGCTAATATAACCACACATATGAAAAATAGAAAAGATTGGTGATGGATTTACTTAAGCTTCATAATTAGATTCTGAGTGATTGTTATGGACCCATAAATTATATGTTCTTGTTCGGGCTAGCCGGAGATTACATATCAACATGCATGAAGTTTGAGTACATTTTTGAGGACGTCTGGACTGATAACCTACATAACAACCTATACCGATCGATTTCAGATTGAAAATGGTACGGTTTCATGGAATATTTGCAAGAGCCCGAATATGAAATGTCCATTCTAGCAAAATAAATATTGTCTAGTGTGTGTCTTTCGAATCTTTGCAACAAGAAAGAAATAGACCTGTCACTGTACTTGTTAGTTGGGTGCCCATTATATCGACTAAGAAAGAACTCACGTCCTATGCCATGAAACCAATGACTGTTTTGCAATGTTGGAACACTCTGGAAGAATATAACATCTGCATTATGCTTTGTTAGGTTGAACTGGTTCGACGCCGGTCTGTATCAAATGTCTCGAATTTCAAACGATGCTGTGTCATTTTGTCCGGTTCATTCTTTCGTTAAGGTTCACATAAATTCAATGAGATTGAATGTAGGGTCTCGAAGTCTGGGATATAAATCTCGAGCAATTGAATAAGGTTTGAAATGATCAAAACAATTTCATGCCGATTAGTACTCTTTAGCAACTCCACCATAAAATGGGTCAAAGGGTACATTAAATTTGTCACTCCGAAATATGGATGCCTCTAAAGCAGGGCAAGGCAGAGAGCCCCAAAAATTTTTTGTGATTGTATGTGTTTTGAAATAACAAAATATTGCAAGTATTTTTTGCCTCTCTTTACAGAGTGAGAAATAATTTGTTATCTTTAAATTTTCGTTTTAAAAAAACTTCGTTGTTAAAAATTAATATTTTGATCAGAGAATTCGGCGATATATTTGCACAGTAATTTCAATTATGTTTCATTTTAATGTAAAAAAATATATAAGTTGACATTTTTAAAAATTTTATATAATTTTTATTAAAATAAAATTATTAAACACAAATAATAATTTCCGACTTATCATCTAAGTTGATCCTTTAAAAATTAATACCGATTACCACAGGCTGACATACGCAAATAGATGTAGAATTTTATGCTGATCAGAAACGCATATCCTGCGTTGGGTCCTAAAATATTATGTCTATGAATTACAAACAGAATGACAAACATGACATCCTGTTATTTTCCTTAATATTGACTAAGAACGTTTCAGAGAAATCAAGGGATATGAAAATGTCCATTAATTTGGAAGGACAATAAATTTGTCTAACAATATGAAATACATTTCTATTCCTAACATGTTAATTCGTATGCAAATTTTGTCAAATAGAATTCAATTAAAAAAGATACATCTTAAAATATATAATTTTTACAAATTCTGAAATATTTGTTCCGAATATGTAGTAAGATATATTTGTGCTCCAATATTTCTTACGGTGTATTCATAAAAATATCCGACAGCACCTTCCCCAACGACTGCTCGAACAAAACTAAATATTCTCCCTAAACCATTTTGACAGAAAATTCAAAACAATTTATTTTTTACAATTGTGTTGGTGAACACACAGATATCCCAAGGGATACTCTTTGCCTAGTCTTGCTCTAAAGAGTATTTATAATCATGACCTGAGAAGAAGTATATATCAATAGAGATCGCACTGTTGAAGGTAAATCGTTATAATTTTGCGGAGTCATTAATATTATTTCTAGGATGTGTGGCATTAATAACGTATCGGCCCACGCTCAAGGCTAAAGCATACCAAAGCTTAAATCGTGACTTCGTCGTGAAATTACAACACTGTTCCCGCTTGTATTTTTACGCCGAAGTGACGATTAAATTGCTGCTCCACCCTTTAGGTATAGCACGTTTCTTCACCCAATCTCCAATAAAGCCAACAGCAATTTTGGGCTCATCCCAAATATTCAATGTAGCTCTACTTTTTGTTGTAGCCTAATTTTCTATATTAGGAAAATTCAGACCCATTTTTCCACAAAGATTTGATATTTTAGGATTTCTTGGGTAGATTAAGTTCTAAAAAAAATTAATATAGGACAACCTTTTAGTATAGCCCCATATAATGGTACTTTCTAATTTTGGTTTTATTAGCTGCTGTCCCAATTTCGAACCATATCAGTTGACAGTTGATATTTTGGTTTCTTTGTTGCTCCTCGCAATTAATATTCAGTGTTCGTTCACTTTATGGTATAGCCATCATTTAACGTTAACCCCGGATTTTCGGTATTTTGAAGGCTTTGATCCGATAAGCTGAAAATTGATAGAATTTGAAGAAATATTCAATAAGGGTTCACTTTTTAATATAGTTACTGATTTTGAATATTTTAAACGTTCCGGCTCATATTTCCAACCAAATCAGCTTCAAATTGATATTTTCGATTCCTTATGAGTCGGTTGACTCCTTCCAAGAAATAATCGCTATGGGTCCATACATCTATGTTGTTGAAATATTTTATTCTTCGTGATTCTATGCTTCAAAAGACGCAGAGAAAGTACTGCTACATTTCAAACTAATTTAATTTTATTTTAAACAGTCGTTGTGTACTGTGTCTTTTACCGATGCTAAGCTACTGAAAAACTGCGGGTCATTTTTGGCTAGAGACAAATTTACTCCTTCGTCGTCGTCAATCGTCAAGATAGGGAAGGTAAAAACTTCTGGTTTATCTGCCTTTTAAATTCCAAGATCGCCGTCTTAGATAAAATTTCTAAAATGCCACACCATTGACCACTGGAAAGTTGGTGTAATATGTCTTTGAATCACCTGGCCACTACCACCTGACACTGCACACTACACCTGAAATACTCATATGTACTGTCAATAGATCCCATATTTCTGAAACATTGTTTTTTTTTTTTGGTCCCCTTAAGCGAATTGATTTATATACCATTAGATTATACATTGTATGAGCTGCATGATTGCCTGTATGTCAATCAAAAACACCTCTGTCTGCCTGTCTATAACGCCCAATCTCAAATTTCGAACTCAATAAAAATCGATATGTTCATAAATTAAATATAAACAACTACAAGAGATATGACAGAGAATATTTATAAATACAACAGCAGCAACAAGTGAGAGAAATGCAATCGTTCCTACTATTTATACCGGTGGGTCTTTTATACAACAAAAACAACACAAGAAGTAATGTGATAAATTATTTACACTTTCTGATAAAAAAAAGCAACAACAGAAAACGAGATAAAGACACTCAACACAATTTAGTAGCAGCCCAGTATTTGAGAAAAAATTATGAATGTATGCCATATCAAAGGGCAGGGTGGCGTCATTCATGCCGCCATTCATAATAAGTTTACACACGACACAAACAAACCGGTATACCCAACTGATAAAAACATAAATATACGTGCAATTTTAGACAGCTATTTTGCTATGCGTCTGTTTTGTTAGATTTGTGGTCATTATTATCATCATCATCATCGCCACCATCATCATTATCATTTTCGTTGCCCCATCAGCGTTCACAAAATCTAGATTATTTGGATTTTTCTGCATTCTTTGGTTGGTTGATATATATTTTCTTTATAAATTATTAGTTGAAGATGGTCTAGCTAGCTAGTTAGCTGGATGATGCCCATGAGTGGCTTAATGCCGAAATTTATTGCTCTAGCTACTCTGCATTGTCATTGTTAAGGTAGGCACTCTTCACTTGTCGCATAATTATAATTTATGTTTCTTTTTGTTTAATCCCCATTTATACATACTGTATATATTAAATCATTTTTTTTTTTTTTTTTTTTTTTTTTTTTGGTGTATTAATATTTATTATTTTAATTATAACTTTTATATTATAACTTTTAGAGTACCGAAAATATATTAGTGGAATTTGTAATATTAGCTGCTTCTTTTTTTCTATTTCATTTATAATTTATAGCGATAAGTTTGTAGTTTCTTATCATAGAAATTTCAAGTGTTAGAACGATTTGTATAGAATATTTTTGTATAGTTCGATTAATGGGAATATGCCTTTGTGTGTATGTGTGGGAAACACCCATTAACACAAGTAATAAATGATTGTTTTTTTATTATTAGTTTTGTCATCGAATTATAAATTTTTATAGTTAGGTGATCCACATTGAGATTAGAATTAAAAATCTATTGCCATGTTGTTCCATGATGTTACCAAATTGGATATACAGGGTGTAGAGAATTCATGCACTGAAAGTGGGAAATTTCACAGGTCTTTAATTCATCCATATCCTAACAGGCTGAAATAGTCTAAGCCTGTCAATGAATTTTGAAGTTAGACTTCTTATTCATAATCTATAGCTTACTTAGGGAGAATGAGAAATGTGTTATAGAGGGTAATTTCTGTTAGGTAGATCTAAGTATAGTATATAGTAGTGTGGCAATGGTATATAGTAGGAGTATATAGTAGGAGTTCATCAACTCCTATTTACTCTAAGCACATTAGGGATTAAAATTTGTAGTTTCAACTATTAGAAGTAATAAACTGCGAGTGTCTTGCAATTGGCGTGGGAGCAATATTAGCTATGTCGGATTTTATGACGACGTAGCGATGGAAAAGGCTGAGCAACTATTATTCCTTTGTCAAAGACCTTGAAGAACTGGGAATTTTGTGCTAGATTAAGTGACATTTAACCCTTTTATCTGGTCATGTAAATTAGGGAAACATTTTCCATAAAATCCAAAGTCTTTTCTAAACTGCATATCTGATCACAAAACCTGTGGTAATGAAGTTAGGAAAAAAGGCATTGCAAAATCTGTGACATTTACCCGTTTTATCTGATCACGTAAATTAGGGAAACATTATCCATAAAATCGTAAGTCTTTTCTCAACTGCATATCTGATCAGATAACCAGTGGTACTGAAGTTAGGAAAAAAGGCATTGCAACATGAGGTTGCCGAAAACCACTTAGGTATTGCGTGCTCAACCCATGTAAGGTGTTCGTTTAAAATAACAAGTGATATATAAGAGCTATAGGTGCAATGATGCCACCAGGCCTTAAACCGCACCAAACGGTGACTTTTTCCGGATGCGTTGGTAGCTTTGTAAAGCACGAAACGTGAGTGAACTGTTTAAACCAGTGTTGCTAAAAAAGACAATGGCTATCGAGGGTCTTCTGTCCACAAGAGAAATGCCGAAAGTCTTTTATAAACAGGAGACCTATCGAAAATCTTCTGCCCACAGGAGGCTTGTAGCACGGCTTCTCTCTAGACACCTGTAGAAGTTCGGTTGTCCACAGGAGACCTATTTTCTGGTCTTTTGGGAGAAAAACAACTGGTCTTATGCAAGACCTCCAGGCTTCCTTTGAAAAGACCTTCCTGGACTTCCAAAAAATACTTTTAGTTTTCTAATAGAACCCCTTCTGGTTTTCTTATGGAAAAACCCTGTAGTCTTCTCTTGAGACCTTCTGGTCTACAACGGGAACCCTTCTCGCTTTCGATGGGAGTTATAGTGCGAAACAACCACTCCAAATCTCCCGAATCGGATTTCGTCCAATGAGACCTAGGGTCTAAACCCGATATTTCGCACATTTATGATATCATATAAATACCCTCTGTAGTCATATGGCTCAGTGTATAAAAATGGGTGTAGAAGTAGAGATTGTCATTGTTGAGTAAGGCTAGTCGGCATTGAATTTTTATCATAGTCTTGCGAACATTTAAAGTTTTTGGCTACTTGGTTTTGGTTTCGTCTCCGAAAAAAGGTGATAGCTTAAAACCACCCAATGTGGGTGTTTCGTCAAAAAGCATTAGATAGTGGCACAGCAAATGGGGTTTCTTCTAAAATATCGCTTCGTCAAAATCCCTACTTCTCCATATGAACATTCGGGCGGAACGTGGTTGTACGTTTCTTTTAGAAAAAATTGGTCATAAAACTATCAAGACACTATCGATTAATTTTTGTCAATTTCTCTTAAATCTTGGTTCAGAAATGTTGCACCTGTTATGAATATTGATGCAGCCCTTTGAACTCTGTTCAAATTTCGGCTTTACCGAAATCAGCGTTGTAATGACTGGCCCCTGATGTGTAACATTAATGGCCAACAATTGGGAGGACAGCAATATCAAAGGAAAAAAACATCAACTGATTGGAAGCATGCTATTTGTAAAATCATCTTCTACACTTTGCTTCTTTATATCTTTTGAAGATGAACACATTGAAGATTTGTTATTAATTAGAACGACTACCTGTCTACCAGTTACTTTGCCAAAGGAAAGGCCAAATAATTCTTCTTTGTGACCGATTTCCTTATAGAACTCTCTGTCCCATTTTGGAATATGTAAGACCGACCCTCATAGTCTCCTCTGCCATTTAAATGCTTCTTTAAAGTTATTTTACGCTTCGTTTTCCCATTTAGACTAACAAATTTTGATACCACCCCAATAAGAATAAGAATTCAATTGGCTTTGGTTTTTAAATACATTTCTAAAATAGATTTTAAAAATCTATTTCAATTTTATTCTCTTTTTTATTTATTGTAATTATTTTTTTTTTTATTTTATTTTTTTTTTTTTTGCTTGTTTGTTTTTTTGTGATCCTTTTATATAATAGTCTTAATCATCATCATTATATACAATTTGAATTACAAATCTCGTTCTTACATTAGTTATCTGTTATAGCCTTAAAATAATAAAATAATTACATAGAGAAAAAACACGTATCTTAAAAAAAGCTATTTTATACTGCTGGCAAACAGTTAATCTATTGAGAGTTAAGCAATGTAGTAAAATAAAGCTATAAAAACAAATTCTAAAAACATTATTTTTTCTTTGCATTTCTCTGTGAAACTATGGAAGTTGTGATAATTATTTAAGTACGCGCATTCATTGTAAACTATTGTTGGGGCTTTTCTCCTTTTAAAAAATATAAAAAAAATTGTGCTTAAAGTTGGAATCTTAGATTTCAGGTGGTAAAATATGTACAGTTTTATAATTCGTTATTAAAAATTGTTTTGTTTAAAATGAAATTTGTATTTTAACAACGAATTTGTTAAAGAAGATCTAAGAGATATATAGGGTTTTAAGCTTTAAAATAGCCATGCTTGTTGGGCACTTTTCATTATAGAGGAATGTGTTTTCTAAAAACAAACGGATTTACATTCTTCACATACTATTTTTTTTTTTTTTTTTTTTTTTTTTGTATTTTTTTATAAATATTTTTCGTTTTTTTTTTTTTTCTCATTTTCATCAAATACATTTTATGGTCTATATTTAAATAAAATTAAAAAGATAAATAGTTATAGCATAAAGTTCTTGCACTATTTGCACGAAAAGTTTCAAAAGGCAAAACTTTTCTAGGAATTGTTGCTAATAAGCCATTGACAGCTGCAATAGCCTGTTTCACACTGATTTGCACAAATTCACAACAACGATTATAACAATAGAAACAACAATAGTTGTAACAGTAGCAGCAGTAGAGACATCACGATAGTGTAACTTCCAAACACATCATAATCAGGAAACCTGCAATGGTACCCCATGTGGCAATGCTGCCATTACCGCTGGCATGAGCCTCTGGCAAGATATCATCAGCCACAATATAGATCATGGCTCCGGCAGCAAACGACAAGGCATAGGGTAAAATCAAATTGGCAAAGGTCACGGCCACAGCTCCCAAAATACCAAAGATGGGTTCCACCATACCCGACAGTTGGCCATACCACAAGGCACGCAATACACTAAAACCGGCAGCATGTAAGGGCAGACTTACAGCCAAACCTTCGGGGAAATTTTGTATACCAATGCCAATGGCCAGATTACGGGCAGCTTCAAATGTCGAGGCATTGTTTTGTCCAACAGCTCCAAAACTCACACCCACTGCCAAGCCCTCGGGGATATTGTGCACCGTAATGGCCACAACCAAAAGCATAATACGTTTCCATTGTGCCCCAGATTCTTGGGCAGCCTTTTCAGCTTCGGTGACATATGTGGTGTTGGTACGTTCAATATCAACGCTAGCCTTCTTGCGGCGCCTTGGTTCCGAATGACTGTGCTGTACACTCAGACAATCCGAAAAACTATCCATACTCTTGGCTGCCTCCATGCCACTACCATGGTGACCATTCTTCTTATCATCGATGGCAATATCGGCCTTATCCTTAGTTTGGGTCATTTGTAACATCATATCGTTGGAATTCAATCCCAAATAGGACATTAATTTATCACAACCATACACGAAAATGGCACCTAATAGGAAACCACCTGATACCGGTAGGAAAGCATAAATGCCATATAAATTTGAGGTTTCAGCCATTTCAATGGCCGGTTTTAGTAGGGACCAGAAAGATGCTGCCACCATAACGCCGGCTGCAAAGCCCAGCGCAGCATCTAAAGATTTGCGTTGATTACCGCGTACAAAGACCACACATGATGCACCCAAAGCGGTTAGACCCCATGTTAGGAGGGTACCCAAGAGGGCTTGCGTTACTGGACCGTAATTGGGTAACATTTTGTAAAATTACTACGGGTTGGGGGCTGGAAAAAGAAAGAGAAAATAATTTCATTAGTTTTTTATTTTTGTAATTTTCGATTTTTTTTTGTATTTCTTTCTATTCAAATATCATACAATCTAATTTTCTGTTTACTAAGCATGCTTTCATATTGACTTTTTTATAATAAATATTTCAAATACACCTTGGTTTTTTAGTTATAAATCTTTGAAGAGAAATCAATTTCAAGGCCAAATCGATGCAAGCGAGTAGAGCTAGACATTGAAAACATGTTAAGTTTGTTCTAGTTTCTATTTGGCTTGCGTTCATTTTTATATTTCATTTGTATCAAGCTTGTAAAACACAAAGAAGAATTATAACCAAAACTCTTATAGGAGACAACAAGCATTAGTCTTCTATGACCAAAAGAAGTCCTCAGTAGAACACGAAGAGAGTTATTTTATAAGGAGAAGACTCATATTAAAACCCTTTGTAAATATTGCATCTAAAAACGTTCGAACAGAAGGAGGCAATAATTCCTCTAGAAAAAAGAAAACCTATAGCTTTTGATGAGAGAATGATTTTTGAAAAATGTGTCCCATGTATCTGCGAGTTTCAAATCAATTTATTAAACAAATTGAGATACCCCCTTCCATAATATTATTTTAGTACACATAATGCCCTAATTATTATTTAATTTCCTAATTAAATAATTAAGTTAAAATGTTTAGTATTGTAATTTTGTAAATTGATAATTGTATTGCTTTCCGGAAAATTGCATGTCATTAATATGACACATAAAGTATGCTAAGTAGGCAACATGTGCAAATTACATTCTGGGGGCTTTTTTCGCACAACTCGAAAATTCTCTTACATTCAAATAATTATTAACGTCGCGACTATAACCAGTTGTGTGGTGTTGGAATATTAGAAATATGTTTAAAATTTTACAAAGCATGCGATGTGTTGAATATGAATAGCTCTTCGAAAAAGTTAGGAAAATTTCGGAAAATATTAAGAACTTGTATTGAATGGCATCCAATCTGTTAAATATTCAGACCAGAGTTTGAGCACCTCGAAGCGGTGGATATGTGGAGAATATTAAGAACTTCTATTCTGGTTCTGTAGAGCTAAACCGATCGAGTAACAAGTAGATCTCAGTTTCCGAATAAAAAGTTTTCTTATTCATAAATTCCACATTTTTTCAGAACTGTTGATGTTGTTTCCAGGGTGATTAATTTTAAAATTAAACGTTCATTCATATCAGGCCAAACCGAGCCTATTTGAACTAATATATAGTGGATTAAAAACATTCCCCAAAGCAATTCCTCTTCTATTACCTGTTTATTTTATAATTTCTCGTTTTCATCCTCAAGGATGAAAATATGAAATCGAAAGGTCTTTTCCTCCTCTCAAGAATGAACATAATGCATCGAAAAGTATCCGAGGAAGAGGCTTTCCAAAAAAAAGGCAACAGTGTATCCATTAGCCTATTCTGCTAGTAATAATGGCCAAATATTATCACCAACTTAGCCTGAGGGATTTCATTCTTTGGTTGGTAAGAAATTGGCTAAGAGGTGACATCTCGACCCTGAATTTGAGATTGGCTACATCTAGACCCTGGATGCTTGCACTGTATTTGTGCAATAAATGCCAAAATCATAGATATATGGAGGAATAGGCAACGGAACGCGATGTTCGAATTGAATTTCACCGACGTAGCCACGTAAATTTTTGGATATTTTAGGGCAACTTTTGAAAATCTCATTTCCTCAAAAATATTCTTCGAATATTATAAAGTTTTCTCGTTTGAGATAAGTGACAATTCAATACTTATATCTTCCTGTGTCAATGCAAAAATATTCAAAGAATAAGTATTCATTTTATATATTTTGTTTATTTGAAATTCAGATATTTTGATATTTTTTTGATATTTTTATTTTATTTTATGATATTTTTCACATTAAAGCGAAGGAGTTCAATTCAATCTCAATTCTTCCCCATAATATATGAAGTTCTAATAGATGGCATAGGCAAGTGATTTAGAAAAAATTGAATATTTAAGTCGAAAATTACCAACTTCACTGTTCTGATAATATTTCAATTTCACTTCATTTATTTTACCCCAAAGCCCCCTTTTACAACCAGACTTGGTTATCATCATTTCCTCCGACTGTATATTGCTGCTCTTGGAATTGCCAAGAAGATTATGAAATACGCAATAAAATTGACATCACGAATTCAAACATAATGGAAATGATGAAGAGGGTGATATACAACAAACAGCTGAATTCATTAAAATTCTATGCTTGGTTTAAAAAATATATATATAAAGAGAGGGGAGCGGGGAAAATATGGGAGGCAATTGTGTGTTGCGGCTAAAACCAATTGCCATCTTGCATGGAGATTACTGATGGTAGGAAGGAAATCCATAGAACAAACTAAGCCCAACAATGAACAAGTGCAACAATCTGCGACCATGAAAGGAAAACATTCTATTAACACTGTTGTCGTTATTGTTTCCCCCTTTCATTTAAACCCTACTATTTTTGAATGTCAGTATTAAGACGTAGGTAGGTACGTGTACTTTTTCAATATGAAATATTATAATTACCTTGGTGTTGTTGTGAGCAATGGCAATGAATTTAAGAGATATTTTAAAGTTTCTGGTGGTGGATTGGTATAAAACGAACTGCCACGTTCCTCCTTCTTCTACTTCGCCTTAGTTCAATACTTCCCCAGTTTAAGCAGAACCAGCAGCAAGTAATGAATGATCTCAGCAGACGATGGCTGGCGGCGTATGTAAATTGAACAAAACAAATACACACACGAGCGTTACATTCACACAAAAATGTTTTGTTTTGCTATCGCCGTCGTCGTGGAATACTAAATTCAGAACAATAAAAACAGATATTGGTGGAAAATGCACACTACTGGTCCAGTGACTGTTCAATTTTGTTTTTTTTTTATTCTTCGTTGTCACTCTTCTGAAAACATCTGTTGGATAAATGTTGATGACCCGCTTAAAATGCTTGTGGTATTATTTTGATGATTCTTGATTTTTTGTTTATATAGGTGTTGTTGCCGGGGTACACATCGGTAGTTGGTATTTTGTTTGGTTGGTTGACGTTTTAATAATTTTTATTTACGGAACGGCAAACACCTTTCTCCCAATTAATTTCACTTGTTTTACTTCGTGTTTCTCTTTTGATATTTTATTTTATACTCTTGTTTTTTTGTTTCAGTAGGTATATTTATATTTATTTTACTTTTATTACACTTGCTGCATCTTCACTTTAGCGATTGTCGTCATCAAAGATGATGCTCTAAGGGGGAAAAGCCGTCGGTTTGGTTACTTCAGGGCAATGTATATAAAAAGAAGCGTTTCTCAATTGAGGAATGAAGATGACGAACAAAACGCCACACAACAGAATTAAAACAAAATGTCAGAATTATTGCCCGCACACAAACGACAAGAGGTTGCTCCAACCAACTACTACTCCGCACACAAGTAAAACGACGACTAATGACTTGGATTGCCACTACTGCTGTCAGAATTACATTTGTGCTTGGCCAGCTCTTTTATACATTTTTCACATTTGTATTTCTTTTGGTATGTGCTCTATGCTATGCCACCTCCCTCCCAGCCCCTGCCTGTGCTCCGCGTATAAAAACTCTATTTCCCGGGCCCACAATCTCATAGTAACTTCTTATCAACAACGAAAAACTCGTCATAATCATCGGATTGCTGGCTGTTTGCTTTCTTTCTTTTTGGCATTCTATATGTCGCTCTCTCTCTCCCGCTCTTTTACTCTCTTTTGATGGGGAGATTCATGCTCCCTCCCATGTGTACTTGGGCTTTGTTTGTATCGTTGTTGTTTTTGTATGTGCAAAAGAGATTGCTACTTTTTTGTTCGTTCTGTCTTCAGTGTTGTATTTGCTAAACGGAGTGGGGATTTAGACGGTTAATTTTGAATGTTTACTTTGAAAATATTTATATCGTATTTGTTGATGCCAGTCACTTTAGTATTATTATTAAAATTTATTGTTATTTTGATAAAAAAAAAAAAACAGCAACATGTCCGCCGGAATGCCCTCTGCTCGTCGTGACATTTCTCGCCTGAAAAAATCATTTGTTTTTGTTTCATAATCGCATTTTTGTTAATCTTTTTTTACATGTTCATTTCTTACATTGCCTTTCTTTTTGTCATATCTGCTGCCAAGATTTGAAATTGATACAGTCAAATGTGGTTATAATGAGTAGTTTTGAATGAAATACTTTCACCTTTATCTTTGGGGGTTTTCAATAATTGTACTTCAGGTTATAAGGATAAAATTTGTGGATTCGGTGGGAAAACTCAGAGAATTTCATTTAATCAAAACATATATAAGATAAAGTTAATAAAGTACAGATTATATGTCGTTATTTCCGATAGATATTAAAGACTATTGGAATTTTTATACACCACTAATATATATATATTAATCTGAGCATGTATGTCCGACTGTGAAAATCACTTTAGCTTTCGAAATTTTTTTTTAGGTCAGTAGAGTTGGGTCGCTATTTACGGTATCGCCCTATTAAAGTTTATTTTGGGTTTAGGTTTTAGCATTATATTTTAACCGAAATGTCTGTTTCCAGCGGCCAGAAAACATCCTTTTAATAATAGCACCTCCCAATATTCGATATTTGGATGGATTTTAGACACATTTTTCAACACAATTTTTCCTATGTTGGTATTAATAATTCGCAGTATATACACTTTTCTACACTCATCCAGGTTTTCGTGTCGGCCCCATAAAATGGCACCTCCCGACAATAGGTCTTTTCTTGATTTGTTAAACAGACAGTAATTTTTTTATACAGGTCTTTGTTTCCGTGAACCCACCATATAGGGGGGGCCCTATAATGGAAACTACATATATTTGGAATTTTGATGATTGACGACTCAGTTTTTAATATAATTATTTAAAACTCGATATTTGTCGTTCGTAATTTGTAGTTCGTTCGTAATTGTTTATATAGGTTCAGGTTTCCCCATAGCCTTTACGAGAGGTACTTTACATCAATCTACATATTCTGATTATGTAACGATAACCATAAAATATGTAACGGCGGCTAACAATTGTTACGGAAACTCGTCTGTTAATACAAAAGCTCAGTGAAATACAGTGATTCGAGAGAGAAATTTTGACAGTTTTTTTTTGCTGAAAGTTTGCAAATTCTTGCCGAACAAATGTAATCGTGCAGGAAAAGTATTCTGACCGACCCAATAGCATAACAAACAATTTATCCACTTTTAAAATCTCATTGTTAGAATGTATATTCATAAATCCATTCTATAGACACAAATTAATCTTATCGGCTACTGGCATTGAGCGTCTGCCTTCTTACGATCGGCAGGACAGACAGGACAGACAGCATCGTCCAGGTCCTCATATTCTAGGTACTACGTTTTTTTAATGGGAATAGTATCAGTCTTTGTAACCTTGTTCACCTGTACTGATTACACACAATCATCGCTTAACTCTGTTAGATATTATTTTTTGCTTTAGTAGTGACTGCTTGGTGTAGTTTTACGCGTTACTTAAATAAACAAATGCGAATCGCAATGTTAAAACAAAAATAACGATTATTTGGGCACGTAGTGCCTAAACAAATATGTCAAATGTCTGATGTGTATATCTACGCTACGCTTTTAGGTGCACTCTTCTCCGGCCCGGCAAGGTTAAGGATGATGAACTAATTGAGCTTGGGGCGAGACCTAAAAGAAAAGATGCTGGCATCTCTTTTGTGGGTGGTTAATAGAAAAATTATAAGTAATATTGCGCCAAAAAAATCAAAACTTTATTTTTAGTCAATAAATGGGACATTCCACTTAGAAAATTTATATTTGGCAATAGAACATTTGGTATCAAATTTTAGGTGTGTCTGGTTACCCTAAAGTTTGTAACAATTGTTACAAATTGTTACTGGAAGTCGTCTGTTAACCCAAAAGTTCTGCAAAAGAGAGCGGTTGGAGAGAGAAATTTTGACAGTTCTTTCAGTGAGAGTTTGCAAATTCTTGCTGGAAAAATTTCTTCTTGCAATCACTTGCAACTCTTCTTCTTCTCATTCATCGACATTCAATCAGATGTTTTCTATTGTTTGTTTATTTCTTTTTGTGCTTTCAATTTGAAAATATTTTTTTGGAATTAGCAAGACTAATAGTTTTTGGAGAACAACTTTACAAAATGTGAAAAACGTAAATGTTAATATGCAATAAGAAAATAAACGACTATTTCCAACATTTTTATTTAAAAAACTTGTAAAATTAGTATTGCTTCCTTTGTTTTAATTCTCCTTATGGGGGACAAATTGGTTTGTTTTGACAAATCAGCTGATTAGTTGCAAGCTTCTGCAGGAATACCGTCTGTTTACTTTTCGCATTTTCCTTGCAATAGAGAATAAAACTACCTTACTCTCTCAGAAAGAAGTTACTGGACAATTCCTGCTGGAAAAGTAACCAGACACACCTTTTATTTGATAAAGATTTCTTAAAAATTTCCTTTCATGGGAAAGTTTTGGAATAATCGTTTATAGTTTTTGATATATTTATATATTTTATAAACATTTAAACAAATTCTAATTTTCATCACGTTTTTGCTTCTAAAAATAAAACACATTTGTATAATGCCTGATAGTGTCAAAAATCCACCCTTCACCCAATCTCTAACGTTATGCTAAAACTTGTGTTTATGTTTAGATGTTTAGATTCTTCTTGTTCTTTAAACACCACGTCAGTTCTATTAATGTCAACAAAGACAAATTTATTTAATACAATGGTATTAATAAAAATCGTGATATTGAAATTTTAATTGTTCTTAACTAAAGACCGAGTGTTGATGCGTTCTGTATTTATAAACAGATATATTTGGTCAAAGAGCGTTTCAAATAGGAGTTTTTATTTTGGCACAGTCAGTCAGTGGAGAGCCTCCTTAACAATAATTTTAGAATTTTTTGAATTCCAGATGTAACTTATCAGTCATGATTATTTTTAGGTTCATTTTCATACATTTCAAGGACCCAATCAGCAAAGACACAATAATGTCGTCTCATTTTGAATCAAATCCTGCAATGGCCGGTAATGAGAACATTTTTGAGCTTAGTGAGAGAGGGGGGAGGGGGATCGTTCCATTAAGAATGTCAACGACGTATCCAAAATTGTTTTGTTGAAACAACTAGAATCCAGCGAAATTAAATGAAAGTTGTCCTGGTTTATTGGATTGAGTTCTGAAGATGTCATAAAACAGTGTTCAGTTAATTGCACAGCCAAACCTACCCAACTCACTCCAGAAGATATCTGGCTACAGCCCATTAAATTAGCCGAATTTTTAAACCTGGAGCTGAAACCAGATTAGCAGAACGCAAACACTTGCATGTACTACTGTTACAACAACAACAACAGCCAGTGCCCAACCCAAGTTTGGATGATGTTACCATGCCAATTGTTGGCATTTGAAGCCAAAGGTGAAAACGCATACCAAAAGTTGGGTGAAAATATTTTACCAAAGGTTTGAGCGAAGATTTCATGTCAAAAGTGGCCGAACGAAAGGCTGGTACTAATACCATGCTTAGAATCCAAAAATAAATTGAATATTTTTCCTTACACTTCCTTCTATAAGAAGCAGCAAAAAAGAAAAATATGGAAAAAATTAACATTTTGTTGTGAAATGTACAAAAGTTTCAAAAAAATTATCATTTTCTTAACTTCCTGAAGTGAGTGGGTCATCAGGCCCAAGATTAGAGACTTTGAGTTCTACTTACATATACCCTTAAATTAGTCGACTGCTTGCTAGCCAACATTTCCCATAATATTGTGATATCCAGAAATACATATTTCAAGCTTGCATATCCATTTACGATGACCGATAGGGACGTCTGGGCTGGTGGTGAATCCCCTCTGACGATTCCAAGAAGGAAGAAGGCGCCGTTGCTGGAGTATTCTGCTCAACCCAATGATTAAACACTCATAATAGCTTAATGACAATTGCAGAGTTCAGGCGGAGATATTAACAATGAAGAAGGCAGCCGGAATGGTAAGAGAACTCTGCAATAGCTTAACATATGTCGATAGTCAAGCAGCCCTTAAAGCTATCAGGTTCAGTGCCATTATGGCGAGAGCCATTCTTGACTGCAAGAAAGCCTTGCTTGAAATAGCTTTGCCTGGTTCCAGGATATATCAACATAGTGGGGAATGGAATGGCTGATGAATTAGCTCGAGGTGATTCCCAGTCGATTAATCTACTGATTGATGAGATTATTAAACCACCAGTAAGCAATTATATCAGCTGTTTCAGCTTAGTAGGTCTGATCGAAAAATCTTGGTAGGCACACTGACTGGCCACTGTAGTATCAAATATCTGAACTCATAATAGGATAACAGTATTCCTGACTATTCCTAGATGATTGCACACCTACTATGCAGATGTCCCATGTTATCTAACAATAGACACAGGCTATTCGGCAGGTGAGAGATAGAAACGCTAACTACTTCTCAGACATAGATGTGAATATCATCTACAAGTTTACTAAAGGTATCCCCTGGCTAGGCAGATCTTTTGATCTCTTTCTCGTTTCTATATCTCTCCTATCCCCAAAAGCTTTATTCTTCCTAGGATAAACACAATGGACCAAAGGTCTCCGAATGAAGCTGTTGCCGAATCCTGAGTAGCTGCGCATCCTTAAATCAAACCAGAGTCATAGCTTTTGGCCAGGCTTTATTATATTAAAAATAGTTTTTAAAGCTTGCATTAAGTATTAACGCTGAGGAAAGAAAAAAAATCAACCTGATTTTGAGTCGTTTGAGGCAATTGAGCCAAAAGGCCGCTTGAGGTTTGTTTTGCATCAGATGAGGATTGAAACGGCTTAAGTGGTTTAAAGCTTTAGTGAAATATTTTCTTCAAAATATATATATTTTTCAATCTGCTTGCCGATAAAATTTTATCTGCAGATTGGAAGAATAATAATCTGATAATCTGTTTTGTCAGTACGCTTAACTTTCGATGAGATGGACGGTTTGGAAGCTATGAGATCCAAACTATTTCTTCTGTTCTTCATAAACATTCATAATGTCTTAAATACTCAAAGAGACCTAATGGTTCTCATATTTCTTATGTAGACTTCTCTTAAAAATGTTTATGTCGAGTGAATATCCATTGGAATTCGACATTATTTGAACTATCGTTAAATTATTGTTTATTCTAAATGTTCAAATATTATTTTCTTATTTACAATTATTATTGTTTAAAGAATGTTTTTAAACATCGTTTTTTTAATTTTTTTTACTTCAGCGCTACAAATGTATGCAACCGGATTCGGAAAGTTCCATTAGTCGTAAAGGTGGCAGTGCTCAAAGAGATCTCACTCCAACACAAAAGACTGCTGCTGGTGCTAATAAAAAGAATTCCACAATGATTGGCGGTACACCGACCGGTCGTTCCAGTGCTAAAAAGAAGACTGATATAAGCCAATATTTTAAGAAACTAGATAATAGTGTAATGACCACTCCAATTACTAGTGTTTTAACGAAGAAAGCGGATAGTCAAGTTGCCAGGGCAGAATCGCCGGCAACACAACTTTTGAATCGTATTAATGCCAATATTTATACACCGTTGATGCAAGCAAAGACGACGACAATTTCAAAACAAATCACAATCACAACATCAGCCACAATCCGAAACGTTGAGTGTTTTGATGAAGAAAGTCGGGAGTCAACAGTTGCATCAACAAATGGTGATATTTTGAAAACACAAAAAGTTAAAAAAGCCTTGGATTTCTTTGAAAGCTCTCCAGATGTGCCCACAGGCGATGCAATTGATAACACCACAACCGGTGTTTTGCCCACACCAAGAACAAGACGTCGCAGCAGTATTTTGGCCGTTACAAACAACAATAATGAGACTACCTTAGCATCAGAGGATGTAGCTACAGCAACTCCTTCCAAAATAACCCGGCGTCGTAGCATTACCACCGCCGCCACAATCGCTGCTGTTGATCAGGAATCACAATCATCCGCAGTTGCCAATTTAATGAAAACTCCAAACGGTAAAAATCCTCGTCGTCGCACTACCATACATACACCCAAAAATATGACCATGGAAACTCCAAGCAAGAATAAACCAATACAACCCATAACGGAAGAAGAAGAAGGTCATTCTGAAGAAGTACCGAATAGTTCCATAGACTCATCCGCCGTAAAGGCACGCAGAACTTTACATGTTTCAAAAACAATGGAAGTCTCAGAGCGCACAATTTCCTCCTCCAACAATGCCATAAAAGAAAATCAACCAAAATCAAACCGAAGACGTACCATCAACAGTTATGCGCCAAAAAACAACCACACATCGCCCCCAAATAACAGTGGTCGTCTGGATTTGAGCAACGTTGCCACCAGGCGCCCAACGTGTTACAGTGTTAAATCGATGGAAACTAGCAGCATACAATGTGACAATAATAGCAAGGAAGAAATTGGAGGAAAACTCGAAAAGACAATTGAATTGACAAATCAAATTTTCAATGCACTCATGAATAAGAATGCTCCAACTGAAAAGGCTGCTGTGAATACATCTAAAGCAAATGTAACAAATCGGCGTCGTACCTTATATACTCCCAAAAAGGTTAGTGATAGTACCTTTCCACAGTCCCGACCATCTGAGAGCCTTTCTTCCATATCGCCCATGGCCAGCAATATGCATGGCAAGGTGGTGGCTTGTTCAACCCTTTTGGAGAGCGCAGAAAATCCTCCCACAAAACTAATGGAAACACCGCCAGCAAATTCTACAACAGGAAAGTTGCTAGAAGAAACAACGGAATGTGCAACACCGCTTATTTTCAGTTCCACACGTCTACCGGGTAATAAAAGGCGTACTCTGTTCGATGTTTCAATGGATATTATAACGCAACGTTTGCAATGTATTAATCAGACGGCTAGGCGATCTTTGGCACCGGCAACAACAGCTGATTTGAATGGAGATGTAAAATCATGCGACATTCCATCATCGGAAATTGTTGATATCCGTAAAGGTGGTGGCATAGCCGTCTCAACGGATGGCGAAAACTCCAGCAATTCTCAACGTAGCAGTACAGAATCTGATAATCAAAACATCTCAATTTCCTCAACGACTGAAAACATCGATAGTGGTTCAACGCCCACAGTCAATAAGAAACGTAAATTATTCGTACCGAATGAGGTGTTGACCCCACCGCCTGTTTTGACGGCAACTAGTAAATTGAATACATCCATAAATAGTACACCAAGCATTCAAAGAACATTGGCTACTGCTGCCTCGGAACAAAAGAAACGCCGTAGAACCCTTTTGCCACTCACGCAAACCATTATATCGTCGAGCTCATCTACAAGTGATTTACTTTCTGCCGATTCTTCTCCGCCGGCAATGCTAAAACGACGCAGTACTTTGGATTTTGAACAAATTAAAAAATATCAAAATAAATTGTCACGCAAGAATCAAGATGCCGATGCGAGTAACGATGGTGGCAAGTCCAAAAAGACACCTGGCCTAGTCTACACGAATATGCACAGTGAACAAATAGATGTCATAAAAGAGGTTGGTACCACCCCGCGTTAATGCATGATCCACTTCTACTTCCAAAACCTACCCACCATCTATAAATTCAAGAAAACTATATTCTTTGCAATTTCTGTAGCGTATAAACACTTTGCCTACTTTTTACACTATTATTCCAATCACAATTTCATTGAAATATCTCCTGAACTGTTTCTGTTATAGTATTTAGTTATTTTTCTTTGTTTAATTTATAATAGTAATGTTTATTTGATTTTTTAATTTAATTAAAACTCTGTTTTTGAATTGTTATGCCATTTGCAATAATATATACATATTTCGAAAACATTTTTAAATTGTATTTCGATTTTCTCAAAGATTTTTGAAGCGAAAAACAAATATTTGTTGTGAAGTTATAAATTGAAGACAGATAGACTTTTGGCTGGATGGTAAATGGATGGATTTAATAGAGATCAATATAATTGGAACTGAAGTATTTGTTCTACTCTTTAGACACATATTTTCCAACAAATTGTATACTTATTTTTTAATATATCCCAAATTGGTCACTTATGTAAAAATAGACGTATTTTATGATTGCTCCTTTCTTAATGCAGTATATAAACACGAAGCAGTTGTTAATTTCAAATACTAAGAATATCACATTATTGATTTCGAACAATTTCTATATTGTTCTGTATTGAGGTTTGGTTAGTAAAAGACTTATGAGAGTTATTTTTTATTAGTATTTTCTTTTTTGTTAAGTATAAGATATTGGAAATTGTTCTGCATACAAAACAGCGCACCTTAAAAATATTGTTTAATTTGTGTAGTTGAATTGTTAATTTAAATTGATTTGTATAATTTCATTTAGTTCATGAATATTAATTTCAAATAATGTTACAAATAAAATATAATCATTTTATGCAGTCATAATAGAACATGGCATTTAATTTGGTTTACTTGTAGAATCAGAATTTGCATGAAATTATTTTTAGCCTAAAAGTATGCTTTAGATTTTTGCTTTAAGTTTTTAATTTAATCAAGGGAAATTTTCTAAAATGTCGAAAAAGTTTATAGGGAGTTACTATACAGGGTGAGATAAAAGAAACTGCAACAAAGACACGCCATAATTTTTTATTTTTTTTTTTAATTTTATTGAATGAAAGCAAAAAATATCGGAAATAGAATCAAATTTTAGAATACGTTTATATTTGTTCGAATTGGTCACCGTGTGCACGAATTAATTATACGCGCTGCCCGAATGTTGATCTGCGGTATTTTGGCCCATTTCCGGTGGGCCATTGGTATTTTTTAGTGCCAAAATTGTTTTCCAAAATACTCCTGACACAATAGTCCAACGGATTGGTATCCGGAGATTTTGGTGGCCATTGTGCGCTGGAAATGAAGCGAGGAACCTTATTTTGTTACCATTCTTGGGTGGCGCGTGCTGAATGCGATGGTGCTGAGTCCTCTTGGAATGTCCAAGATCTGCGGCCAAAATATTTGCATACCCAAGGCTTTTATACATCCTCCAGAATATTTTCACTATAAAATTCGGCATTTATTTTGATGCCTCGGTCGATTAATACGAGCGGAGAGCGACTATCGGCTGTTATGGCGGCTCACACCATCACCATGGCCGGCGCTTGAGTTCTGGTGACCAAGCGAAGGTGCACATTTTCAGCTGACCTCTTTGGCAAGAAAATACGATCATTTTGTTTGTTTACTGCTGGACAACGAATGTTTTCTCATCGGAGAAAGCCTAATTCGGCAGTTCACCACTTTCGACCAAGCGAAGGAACTCTTTGGCTCTTTTGAGTCTATTTTCTTTCTGTTGCGATATAAGTTCTTGCTCTTTTTTGGAATTTCAGTGACTTTACCCCGAGCTCATTTTTTAATATGCTGATGTAGCTGTTCCGTTCTTCCGTCAACTTCCTTGACGTCGGGCTACGCTACCAGTATCACAGTAACGAGCGATGGTACGAGACACAAACGATTTATTCAAATTAAATGCTGGAGTGCTCTAACGATAGCCACTTGTGGTTTTCCAGCCAAATATAAAGAAATCACACTATCACGCTTGAATTCCATCACGAATAACTAGAAGAAATTTTCCGATCTCTACCATCTTTATAACAGACCTTGTGTTGATGGAAGTATTGAGATGTACCAAGTCTGAATGAAATCGGATGTTAATTTGGTGTTTTATGAACTTCATGAATATTCAAAATTTTTACCCTTTGTGGGGGAGGTACCAGAGGAGTTGACCGTGGAGTCACCAGAACTTGGGTTGATAAAGATGTTGTGGTGTGTGTAATTTGAAGACAATCGGACTCTCACATCACATTTTATAAGAGTTATAATTATTCAAAATGTTGACCCTTTGTGGGGAAGGTACTTGGTGGAGTGGACAGAAAAAAGTAGGAACAAAATCGGATTATTCTTTCTCTTTTGCAGTAAATTATTTTCTTTGAAAATGTTGACATTTTGTGGGGAGGTACCAGAAGGAGTGGACCGATATTGCCCATCTCGGAACTCGATTTAAATTTACGATGTACCAAGTTTGGACCAAATCGAATACTACCTTCGATAGTTATCGTGCGCACCAGCCAGAAAGACAGACAGACGGACATCGCTAGATTGACTTTAAATCTCCTAAAACGGATTTGATTCAAAGAGACCTGGGGTCTGAAACCGTTATTTTGGCCGTATCAAATAATGTAATAAGCAAAAAAAGAGCCATATCTTTTAACACTGGAAACGAAAGCTGCCTCACTCAGAGACCAATGTGTTCATCCTAGGAAGAATTAATGGTAGTAGGAATGAAGAAAGAAGGGATAAAAAAATTTCTAGTAATATGAAGATTTGTGTGTTTTAGCAAACCAATGAATAATGGTAACTATGTACGTCCGAGAAGAACGTTGGAGTTTCTACAGTGGCTTACGTAATGTTACTGATAATAAAGTGGAGAATAAAAAAGAATTTTTATTTGATGATGAAAAAATTTGCATAAATGTATCTATAGGTCCATATAAAAATATATAGAGTCCATAATCTGTAATAATTAAATCACCTTATAGTGCATTAAATTAAACAAGGGAGCCCTCTTAGCATAATTGAAAGTAAGTGCAAATTATATTGCGTGATAAGTTTAATTAATCTAGTCCATAATCAAGTAAATCAGTTTTGTTAGTGCTAACTAAAAAAAACATAAAGAATATATTAAAGTTTTATTAATTATTAGATTTAGTTATTTATGTTGCAAAAAGTTTACCCCAACAATATCCAATTAATCTTACTAATTTCGCATGTCTCTTCCTCCACGTTTAATAGGTTGTCAATAAGTTATCGGTATTTAACCTTGAACAACATGTTACCGATAATACCACACATTTGGTATCATTGGAGCCAAGGAGAACGATGAATTTATTGCGTGCCATTTCAAGAGGATTATGGGTTGTAGACTACAATTGGATATTGGATTCGCAAAAGGCGGGAGAATGGTTGGCCGAAGAACCCTATGAATTAAAGGACTTTTCGCGGGCCGTAGAGGTAAGATATTAAAAAATGTAGAATAATTTTGCAAAAAATATAAATATCGATAGAGACTAAATTATGTTCACACTATTTCTATAGTATTTTATAACCTACGTTTAGGCGCTATCCACAATTTTTAAACTAAATTGAATTTACTAGTTTAGCATTTTTGCTCAATATCATAAAAACAAATCGGTTATCGAAGTGACATATTGTACATTCCTGCAGTCCTGAAACATATCATTCTATTGATTTTTCATACCATACACCGCATGGTGGTAAAGGTATTATGTCTTTGGGCATTTTTTTGTAACATGGAGAAGGAAGCGAGATAGACCCATAGCTACTTTTAAGAATCTTCATAAAATCACTTTCTGAGTCGATTTATGCATGTCAGTCTGCCCGTCCGTCTGTCCATGTATTCTTGTGAACAAAATGCAGGTCGCATTTATTATCCGATTGAGATGAAATTTTCCAGACAATATTTGTTTGACCCAAGAACGAATCCTATTGAAATTGGTGATAATCGGTTTAGATCCAAAATATATCTTTAACCGATTTCGGGATAATTGTGCACCAAATGACCAAAATAAGTCCAAATGATCTGAATTTTGGTACATCTGACCGAATTCAGCCTAAAAGTAAGTACATCAAATTTGGAGAAAATCGATTCAGAAAAAGCTATAGCTCCCATATATGCTTTTCAACCGATTTGGGGTTTTAAGTCCCTCACATGCGTAATATGCACTCCACAAGAATGATATTTGGTACCAGGCATCCGATACTACTCGAAAATACCTCTGTCAAATTTTATCAAGATCGGTTCAGATTGGGATATAGCTCCCATATATGTCTTTATCCGGTATCAGGTTTATTGTGCACTAAATGGCTAATATCAGTCCAAATGGTATTTTTCCAATTTTGACTTGTCGTTTGACAGTCGGTTGCTTGACTGAATTCAGTCAAAGTTGGAAAAATAAAATTTGGTGGAAATCAGTTCAGATATAGCTATAGCTCCCATATATATGTTTCATCCGATTTGGGGTGTAAAGTCCCTCACAAGCGTAATATGCATTCCACAACAATGATCTTTGGTACCAGATATAAAATACAGCTTTGAAATAAGTGTATCGAATTTGGTCAAGATCGGTTCAGATTTGGATATAACTCCCATATATATCCTCAACCGATTTCGGGTTAATTGTGCACCAAATAGCCAATATCAGTCCAAATGACCTGAAATTTGGCATATCCGACCGAATTTAGTCTAGAAGCAAGTACATCGAATTCGGAGAAAATCGATTCAGATATAGCTATAGCTCCTATATATATGTTTCATTCGATTTGGTGTTTAAGTCCCTCTTATTCGTAAAATGCATTCGACAACAATGATATTTAGTACCAGATACCTTTGCCAAATTTTATCGGTTCAGATTTGGATATAGCTCCCATATATATCCTTAATCCGATGCCAGGTTTATTGTGCAAATAATTGGTTATATCAGCCCAAATGGAGTGAATTTCGGGACGTAAGTTTTCATTTTGTGGAACTCCTTCTCGAAGTGATATCATTCACTCTATAGCAATGTTATTTGGTATAAACGATTAAAATGTTTCCGTCAAATTTAGTGAAAATCGATTCAGAATTGGATATGCCTCCCATATATTAGTTCCCTCTGAACCAAACTCTAAAGCCAAATGTTGAGGTGATATATCTACTTCAAATAAATTCTTTGGTTACAATAGCTCTACCAAATATGCATAGTGGTGTAGGGTATCATATAATCGGCCCTGCCCGACTTTTGACTTTTCCTTACAGTTTTTTTCTTATTACATTCCTATTTAAAAAATATGCTATTTTTTTCTCTTTGTCGGAGTTTAATTTTACCTCTTTATTTTCCGTTACAGATCTGCCGATCGGAACGTCAAGCATTTGGCGAACGTTACAAATGTGAACTATTTCGTGAACTTGGTGCCTTCTACATTTCACTGCGTTGTTATCCTGTGACCAAAAATGATTTGTGCGAATTGATAACACTGTGTGGTGGCCGGGTGGCACTAAGTCGCAATAAGGCACGATACATTATTGGCGATACAAATCCGTCGCTACCCGATAAGATATATGTTACACCCTATTGGGTATTGGATAGTATATCACAGATGCAAATAATGAAAATACAAAAATACCTATGTCCAAAGCCTGGCGAAGAGATGCCCTTACCCACATCACCTGTGGTTGTTCAAGCAGCAGCACAAATAGAAACTTAGGTTAAAACTTAATTGAATTTATTTTGCAATATGCAATATTATATACCTACAATATTTTTAATGGATTTTATAAAAGTTAATGTTTATTTGAATATTTAATATATATTTACACATACATATACAATAATATGTTGAGAAACACAAACGAAACGATGCAAACAATTTTTGTATTGGCTATAAAATGATTGTTATAATTAATATTTTATATTTTTTAAACAAGTTAACCTTAGCATTTTTATAATACTGTACGTTTTTAATGAATTTTATATACAATAAATGTATTGTATAAATTTATAATGCGTTATAAACTAAAGAAATATCACAGGATTTTTTAAGATATTTCATAATTTTGTCATTAATATTTAAAAAAATGTCTTTTTTAAAAAGTAATCGCAAATTTTATATGCAATAAATAGAACAAAAAAATACAATTCTATAATTTTTAATATGTGTTGAATGAATATTAATTTACAGGAACCGTCAGGGTAGAATAATACAGGAAACAGCAACAAATTTTTTTTTGTACGTAATAGAAGTGTCAGAATTATTTGTCCAAAAATCGAAACAAAGCAAATAATTTAAAAAAAAAAAATATTTTAATTTCAAAAATGTTATTTTTCAAAATGCTCATTTGGATTATCAAATTTAATATGGTGAGGAATTATTCTTGAAATATTTAACTTTAAAGTTTTAAAATCATTCTTCTGAATTTAAAGTTGCTAGCTTTGTGTACAAATCTCTTACAACTTCAAACAATCGCTAGAAAAAGCAACATCCATTTCAAATTGGAACCAAAGCACATATATACAGGGTGAGATAAAAAAAACTGCAACAAAGTAAAACGACAAAATTTTTAATTTTTTAAATTTTATTAAATAAAAAATTTTGGAAATATCATCAAATTTTAGAATAAGTTTAGATTTGTTCGAATTGGTCTCCTTTGGCACGAATTATGGCCCTCAAACGGGCAATGGAACCGTCAAAAGCTGCTGCAAAGCTGGTATTTTTTAGTGCCAACTCTGCTTTCCAAAATACTCCAGACACAATATTCCAACGGTTTGGCATCTGGAGATTTTGGTGGTCATTGTGCGCTGGAAATGAAGCGAGGAACCTCATTTTGTAACCATTATTGGGTGGCGCGTGCTGAGTCCAGTTGGAATGTCCAAGGTCTTCGGCCAAAATGTTTGCGTGCCCAAGGCTTTAATACACCACCCAGAATATTTTCGCGATGATATTCGTCATTTATTCTGATGCCACGGTTGATTAATAAGAGCGGAGAGCGACCATCGGCTGTTATGGCGGCCCATACCATCACCATGGCCGACGCTTGAGTTCTGGTGGCCAACCGAAGGTGCACATTTGCAGCTGACCTCTTTGACAAGTAAACACAATCATTTTTTTTGTTTACAAACTGCTGGACAACGAATGTTTTATCATCGGAGAAAACCAAATTCGGCAGTTCACCACTTTCGGCTAAGCGAAGCAACTCTTTAGCTCTTTTGAGTCTATTTTCTTTCTGTTGCGGTGTTAGTTCTTGCACTTTTTGGAATTTCAATGGATTTACCCCGAGCTCATTTTTCAATATTTACCGAATGAAATATTGCGATATATTCAGCTCACGAGCCATTTTTCAGACACTGCGACGCGGGTTTCGATCAAGTCGCTTCTTTACTTATTTCTGCTGATGTTGCTGTTTTCTTCCGCCCATTTCATTGACGTCGGGCTACGCTACCAGCATCACGGTATAGAGCGATGGTAGGAGACACAAAAGACTTATTCACAATTAAATGCTGGAGTGCTCTAACGATAGCCACACATGAGGTTTCCATATATTAGGTCCGAAATTTGAAAATATAATTTCAACTGACGAAGAAATAAATGTATACCAGCAGAGACCACTAAAATAAAACTAATTCCGATTTCATACAACAAATTCATAACATATCTGAAAATCTCGATGAAAAGGGGTAAATTCCTCCAAAGTTTTGAAATGAATTTTACATATCCTGCACCTTCATATATCATCAAAGGATTCTAGTAGTAGCTGCGCATTTATAAATTTAATCATCAGTACTATATTTACCGCCTGAAAATATGCTTAACAAATTTAGTTTTTGATGAAGCTTTGTTTTCAGTTTTTTTTCAACGTTTTCAAAGAATAATTTATCTAGTTTTGAAGGTAAGACAAAATGTCAAGTATTTTATTTTAGTCGTTCAGTCTAACATTTGGGATTCCAACCCAATTTATGTACTTTTATTTAATTTTATTGGAGATTTTTGTCTCAAATTCTAACCAAATCAACTGTCATTGGACAGTTGCTTCCCCTCAAAAATTTAATATACCTAGCTCGTCTTTTTGGTATAGCCATCACATAAAGGAACCTCCTGATGTTTCAAATTTTGAACCCCTTCTGGTGCGAAACGAGTCGGCGATTCTTTACAACTTGCTATATCTAAATATGTCTCTTAACCATAAATCTGATATGAATGTGTAATTTAATTTCTCATAAAATTGGATATAAATGTTCGATTTCCTCTAAATTTTGCACATACAAATATTTTTATCTGTATTAGATGAAGTATGAAAATGGAATACTTCGGTCCGCTATATATGTTACCTCACGCATATTTCCACATTTTCCAAAAGTTTGCACATATCTCATATAAAGTATAGAAAGTAGACGATACATTCCAAACCTGGCATGCTGTAATATTTATATCAGTCTTAGGTCAGATAAGAATTGGTTAATATTGGCCAACTGCTTCGGAACCTCCCCTATAAAGGGCCAACAGTTTGAATAATCATAACTCAAGGCTGGGGGTATACATGTGTCGGCAAAACCGACTGATACTATTTTACTTGTTCTTATAAAATTTTGAACGTTCCATTTATGTCCGTTATAGTTAATGCCAATATTCTCCATACGACACCGCTATGACACAGGTCAATTTTCGCAGTCATATTTCTTGAATAACAAGTATTTCTGCATCAACGGTTAGTACATGTTATTTTCCCGTACCTTTTTTTATCGTTAGATCTTAACATGTAAATTCGCCCTGAAAGTGGTGATTTGTCCAGAAAGTATGGGAACGAACAATAACAAAATTTGAACTATGTTGTAGCTGTAATAGACAATTCTAAGTTTTGAACGTTTTTGGAGATATTTCGATTCAAAGTAATTTTATACTACAGTATTTTTTGCTTACCTGCACAATCAAAAATTGCACGACATCTTGTGCAGCAATGCCCAAAATGCAGGTAGCTTCATTGCATTTATCTGCACAATGAAGCAGGTATCTTTAATTTTACTTACGTGCACAAAAAGTGCAGTTATCTTTAATTTTCTATTCGTGCACAACAAAGCAGCAGCAGCATAACCATCTTTTAGTGTGGGAGAGGAAGCGAGAATATGTTTTTAATGCATACTCTTTTCTTGTGTTATTGTTTTTGCGAATACAAAAACAAAAACGAAGTGGTAGTTTTTAGTGTCTTTTTTGAGTTTGCAAAAAATTTTCTTGTGCAGATAAATACAACTTTTGTAACCAAATTAAAAAAAAATTACCAAATTTTCGAGGCAGGAATGTCCAATGTGCAGCTATCGATTGGGCACTTAAATACAATTCAAATAAAAGGGGTTTCAGAAAAAAATGGCATAAAAAAAGTTTTTTGGTCTACAAAGGCCAATGCGCAGCTAATGTTGATGCAGGTAAATAGAAACCACTGTACCAGTCAGTCACACACCAATTACCAATTTCTTTGACTTCAATTTAGCTTTATTCCAAGTTACAGCACTGATTCCATCAAAGGAATACACAAACGTACACATATTACGGCTCCAAAATACAAACCATTTAACAAGCGACAATTCTACACTGCTCATAGACGAACGGAGTGAATAACCTCTTCATTCCAATCCATACATACTTCTACACACACAAGCATTTTGGTAGCATTTCAATTTTTGCATCTTTATTTGACAGTCAGGAAAAGCAAATACATTTCTCGAGTTATTCTTGTGTAAATTTAATAAAAACAGTTTGTAAAATAATTTCTCTTCATTCTGCTATGGAGACAGTCATCGCTGTGTTGGTTGTGTGGATGATTGCACTATTAATAAAACAAGATGATCAACATTCGGGAGTGTTGTAGTTATTTATGTTTTGTACTTCAGTTCTGTGGAACGATATCTTCTCTCGTCATCGCGTGGGAGTGTTATTTGTACTTTCGTTGACAATGTAAAATTGTTTTTGTTTTATCGGTTGTGTGGGAAAACAAAAGGAAGTAGTCGTCGAATGAGGCAACAGCATCACTCCACATTCATGCTGCTAGTTACATTTAAAATCGTGGGTGGTGCGTAGGTACAGTAATATTATTAAATGCATTTCTGGTAGTGAAGCCATAATGCAAATAAAAAACTGAGGCAAATTCAAGGAATAAATCCAACCAAAGATGAATAGAAAAATTAAGAAAAGCGAACCAAAAGCAAAATTAACAAAGAAAGCTACATCCAACCAAAAATTAAAAAAAGGAATTAAAACGAAATGTAAAATTCCTTGCCTACTACTCTCTTCTTCTTCGTCCGACGAGATACTCTCTTCATCACTAAAATCAATTCATTTGCAAGATATATTTTTGGAAAATTATAAATAGTAGATTGTGTATTTATGCAATTACATTTCTATAGGCTAAAAAACACATTTGTATTGTGTTATAAAAAGATCTTAAGGTGTTCATTTTATGACAATTTCATAAATTCTTTAGAGTAGTTTAGTAGTCACAGATGTTGTTGTTTTTTTCATGTTTTTAGTTTTCTTTTATTTACGAGTAGTAGAGATGGAATGAATTCCAACATAAGATAATTATAAAAAAGGAGAATTATTACAAATAATAATTAAATTATATAGTAATTAAATACATAAAAAAAGACTTAAATGCTTAGAGCTGTTGCGCTTAGTGAAAGAATGAATGATAGTAGTTTCCTTTGTTGGCCAACCACCAATCACCACACCATCGGCCATGGGCGAAAAACGCACTGCGTTCGGAACCCTTCTAGCTTTTGGGATGATGAGTGGTAGGGGCGACATATTTGTTCTCACTTCTTTAGAGGAGGAGTATATTACTTAGCAGGGGCGACAACAGCATTCGTTTCCTGCGAAACTCTTTGCGATGGAAGCAATTAAACTTTTCTTTAACCATTAAAATTAACTTATGCTGGAACATCTTTACGTTGTTGGTAGTTAATGCGGTACCTCTAGTTGTTGTGTGGTTGTTGTTGTTGCTGCTACATATTGTTGCTGGTGGAGTTTGTAGAATATGCTGGTTGGAAAAGATGCAATTTGCTGCAGTGTTTTCTTGTTGATGTTCAGAGTAAAGCAGCTACTTCTTGCCCTTGGTGGCCTTTTCGGCGGCCTTGGTGACCTTGCCACCGGAGGCATCCTTGAAGTTGACGGCCTTGATGACACCGACGGCGACGGTTTGTCTCATGTCACGAACGGCGAAACGACCCAATGGGGGGAATTCTTGGAAGGATTCAACGCACAAGGGCTTGGATGGGACCAAGTTGACGATGGCAGCATCACCAGACTTGATGAATTTGGGGTTTTCTTCGGTGGTCTTACCGGAACGACGATCGACCTTCTCCTTGATTTCAGCGAACTTGCAAGCAATGTGAGCGGTGTGGCAATCCAAAACGGGAGTGTAACCGTTGCAGATTTGACCAGGGTGGTTCAAGACAATAACTTGAGCGGTGAAATCGGCAGCACCCTTGGGGGGAGAAGCCTTGGAGTCACCAGCAACATAACCACGACGCAATTCCTTGACGGAGACGTTCTTAACGTTGAAACCAACGTTGTCACCGGGCACGGCTTCAGCCAAAGCTTCGTGATGCATTTCAACGGACTTGACTTCAGTGGTGATGTTGGCAGGGGCGAAGACAACAACGGTACCGGGCTTCAAGACACCAGTTTCGACACGACCGACGGGTACTGTGCCGATACCACCGATTTTGTAGACATCCTGCAAGGGCAAACGCAAAGGCTTGTCTGTGGGACGGGTGGGTGGCAAGATAGCGTCCAAAGCTTCGATGAGGGTCTTGCCTTCAGCGTTACCTTCCTTACGTTCGATCTTCCAGCCCTTGAACCAGTTCATGTTGGTAGAAGCTTCCAACATGTTATCACCGTGCCAGCCGGAGATGGGAACGAAAGCAACAGCAGCGGGATTGTAACCGATCTTCTTGATGTAAGAGGAGACTTCCTTCTTGATTTCTTCGTAACGGGCTTCGCTGTATGGTGGTTCAGAAGAATCCATCTTGTTGACACCAACGATCAATTGCTTGACACCCAAGGTGAAGGCCAACAAGGCGTGTTCACGAGTTTGACCGTTCTTGGAGATACCAGCTTCGAATTCACCAGTACCGGCAGCAACAATCAAGACAGCGCAATCAGCTTGAGAGGTACCAGTGATCATGTTCTTGATGAAATCTCTGTGACCAGGGGCATCAATAATGGTGACATAGTATTTGGATGTTTCGAATTTCCACAAGGCAATATCGATGGTGATACCACGCTCACGTTCGGCCTTCAATTTATCCAAAACCCAGGCGTACTTGAAGGAACCCTTACCCATTTCTTGGGCTTCCTTTTCGAACTTTTCAATGGTACGCTTGTCGATACCACCGCACTTGTAGATCAAGTGACCGGTGGTGGTAGATTTACCAGAATCGACGTGGCCAATGACGACAATGTTAATATGAGTCTTTTCCTTACCCATGGCTGTTTGATTGGCTTACGAGCTGGTTGTTGGTGATGTGTATAGGAATGTTGTGTGTGTGATGGTGATGTTGGTAAATTACGGGGTTCGGGATAGAACAAACAACAAGCAGGAGGAGATTGATTGGTTGATACATAAAAAGGAAATAAAAAATTGGGAGGAAAAACAATTTTGTTAGCATATGTTTTCGAGGAATGTACGGATTTTTTATCAATATTATTTAAAAAATACATTTTTTTTTGGGAATTCATTTATTTAATTTTTAGTTTTAAAACAAAACAAATAATAAATCTAAAGTTCAATGTTCGGAGAAACGATCAATTATATTTAACAATACGGGCGGCTGCTGGTAACATAACCTCTAAAAATGTGGTAGAGAAAAAAAAACGTGTTTTCAGAGAAGAGCACGTTTTTCGTTTTCCAACACTGGGAATTACTTTTAAGGTTATTTTAGCAAATACGAATGGAAGAAACAAAAACCGGAATAGTGTAAGGGATAAAATAAAACATGCAAAATGAATAGAAATTCAATTAAATAAATGAAGTATTCCAAAAATAGCAATTTTTCTTAGATTTCATTTTTTGCTTCAGTGGGTTTGGTATTTGGGTTTCCTCACAAAACTCAGTAGCAGAACTAGACAATTTAGTCATCATGCAAAAAAAAATCTCAAGAAAAATTGCAAACAATTGCAGGCAATTAAAAAAAATTAAGCAATTCATACAAAAGTGAAGCTTTAGAAAAATATCAGCAGACGAGAACGACATCGACGATGACACGTTGTAATACAACACAAAGTGGGTGGTGGTGGGGAGTTGTGAATGGTGACATGGTGTATGCCGGCTGGTGGGGAAAGGCAACACGACGACAATCACCACGCTATCTAACAATCCCACGGTATGAGTAAGCAGTGGCAGCAGCAAACAATGATGAAAAAATTTCCAGAAGTTGTGAAACTCAATCGTCGTGTCTATAAAATGCTTATACATTTCTATCTATACATACGCAGCACACATACACACGAAGGCATTGCATACTGGAATGGGCTGCTTGTGGCTCGTGTGTATCTACCATACGAAAGAAATGGCGACGACCGCAAAAAACGAGGTCGTCGTAAAACATTTCGAATGTATAAAGAATTTTGTTGTAATGCCGGATACAAATCATATGCTACGCGAACCGGTGTGTGCTTTCCATAAATTTCACAGAAAGAGGCCACCATATATAAAATGGCGTACATATTGGTCTTCTAATGTCATGGAATGCTAAAACCGATTGTTTCAAGCTCCGGCCACCAACAACAATGCCGATCGTGAAATGCTTTCGAGCACCTAGAAACACGATGCTATTGTGCGGATTAAAGAACGACGCCATTTTGAAAAGGGAAACGTGTTTCGCATTGTTGGTGGTGACTCGCCAATAAAGAATGTTTCGAATATTCCAAATCCGCTTGGTCTGAAGATGGTTTGTTGCCATGCCGTGAAAAGAACTGCGCTGGCGATTTAAACTTTTTACCATTGTTTGCGGACTTGAGGAAAATTCATTCGCCGGCTGCAATTATCACTTGAACTTAGTATGACGCCATATTGGATACATAACCTCAACAAGATTGTTGATGATACTTGATGTTCGAAAAGAAAAACGAAGACACCTTTCACACTTTAATCGCCATATCGCGCAAGCTGCTGATATTTTAACTTCCATGATTATTTTATAATTTGTAAGACAAGAAATCGTAACAAATATGAATGCAGGCGGCTTATGTTCCCAAAAACGAGAAAAGATCACAAAGTGGGCGTGGTTAAGTCAAAATTTGTTGAGAAACCAAAAAGCATTTATTATTTTTTGCAAACTATTTAATTTTTATTAAAATATTTCTCTATACATATTGCCACGTGCTTTTGTTAAGGCATTCGATGGCTCTTTTCCACATTTTCTTGCGCACACGTTTGCAATATTTCCTTCATTTTTGACAACATATTTCACCTGCATTTTTTTAAATGGTGGAAAATTTGTTTATAATTTCACCGATCACATATTTGTTTATTTCACTTGGTATTAGTTTTTTTTTATCGTTCCAAAATTGCTTAATTTTCTTTTTCAGATTTTATCTTTCTTTCTCTTTTGCACTACCACACAATTTCTTTCTTGATGACTTACTTTCCAAATAAATTGAACCGAGAAATCACAAAGTCTATGCTTATCCGGCAAAAGACCTGAACAAAGTGAACGAGAAAGATGTTGCAATGAAACGACAAGCCTCGGCAAGAAGCACGCCACGTCAGAAATGTAAAAACGCACGGTGAACTACAACCAACTTCATTGACTTTCCAAAAATTTTAGCATATTTAAAAGTTGGCTGTACTGTTGAAATGCAACTCTACAAACGAGAGAAGTATTTATACGAATTGTACGATACATTGAACATTTTTTTAAAATAATTATATTTATCGCTTTATAATAAAAAAAAACTATTATATTTATTATTACAAAAAGACAGTCATCATCTTTTTGGTTTCTCATTACCAACCCATTTATTGCCTTGTTCCTTTTTTTATGAGCTATTTTTGTAGGAAAATATATCGAGTAAAAAAGTTGCAAAAGTTAAATTAGCCGAAACCATAACATACCAAAACTTTAATCGTGACTTCTGTGCGAACTGCAAGAATGTAAAAGTTTTTACTACGACAACCATTTTCCCTTTTTGATATCAAAAATAATTTTTTTTATACATACAAAATAATCAAATGCTCTGTTCCAGAACTGCAAAAAGGTAAAACTTTTAACTACGACAACCGATTTTCCATTTATGAAATCAAAAAAATCGTCAAGCAGGTAGATTCTTGCAGATTCTGGAAAAAACCAAAAATCATGGTAAAATAAAGAAGGTGATGTCATGTAATCCTATATTCAAAATTATTCATTTGACAACATCTTATTGTAAAAAGTTATGTCCATTATAAATCTTCAAGTGTATGCAGTGAAATTTGACGTTATTTATAATTCTTTTATCATGGGTAGAATTAAGAAGGTCATGCCATGCTATCATTGGTATGTTCCAGAACTGTAAAAATGTAAAAGTGTTTACTACGATAGCCAATTTCTCCTTTATGCTATTGAAAAAATTTGCAAAACTGGTAAAATCTTGCAGGTTCTGGAACGGAGCATATTTGTTTACATTTTTTCAAAAATATTCATTTGAATACATTTCATTGCCAATATTCTATGCAGTGACATTTGACAAGATATATAACAGAAAATGTAGAGATGTGAAGAATGAGAAGTAGATGTAGAGATGTGATTATTTGAAATGATTGTAATTCATTTTACAGTGATCACAATGTAAAATATGCTGCCACAGAAAAAAATCATATTTTCCAATAAATATATTCATCTCCGCATTTTTTATCCTTTTGTGGTTTGTGGGTCATGGTAGAAGAATATATGTAGTCCTATCCATGGTACAATGAAGAGAAGGTAGGTCAACTTTGAAAAAATTGCAAGTATAGAGGTCTACCTGTTTGGCTTGTAATGTCAGAATTACTATCAAAACAATAAACAAGTTAAAAAGCAGTAAGTTCGGCCGGGCCGAACTTTTAATACCCTCCACCATTTACAACGAATTTGGAAATTTTCAAAAAATAAAATCCTTAAAAAATTCTGTTAAAATTTTAAAAATACCGAATATAGCCGTTATGTTGGGGTCTATATGACGTGGACATACATATGCATTGTTTGTCATAAGCCATTACCATATTCAAATTCGAAACTGGACCCGCACCGACAATTTTCTGTCACAGACTGTAGTTCCCATAACGAACTTCAAATATCAAATTTTAAACAATTCCGGTTAATAATGTCGCTAAAATCATCAAAATACCGAACATAGCGAGGTGCCGTTATATGGGGGGAATACGAAGACGTGGACCTGCACAGACAATTTTCAGTCTTAGGGTGTAGAATCCATTTTGAACTTAAAATACCAAATTTGAAACAATTCCAGTGAATAATGTCGCTAAAATCATCAAAATACCGAATATAGGGAGGTACTGTTATATTGGGGCTATACGAGGACGTGGACCTGCAAAGACAATTTTCTGTCTTAGGGTGTAGTATCCATTTGGAACTTCAAATACCAGATTTGAAACAATTCCCGTGAATAATGTCGCTAAAATCATCGAAATACCGAATATCGGGAGGTACCGTTATATGGGGGCTATACGAAGACATAGACTTGCACAGACAATTTTCTATCTTAGGGTGTAGTATCCATTTGGAACTTCAAATACCAAATTTGAAACAATTCCGGTGAATAACGTCGCTAAAATCATCAAAATACCGAATATAGGGAGGTACCGTTATATTGGGGCTATACGAAGACGTGGACCTGCAAAGACAATTTTCTGTCTTAGGGTGTAGTATCCATTTGGAACTTCAAATACCAGATTTGAAACAATTCCCGTGAATAATGTCGCTAAAATCATCAAAATACCGAATATCGGGAGGTACCGTTATATGGGGGCTATACGAAGACATAGACTTGCACAGATAATTTTCTATCTTAGGGTGTAGTATCCATTTGGAACTTAAAATACCAAATTTGAATCAATTCCGGTGAATAACGTCGCTAAAATCATCAAAATACCGAAAATCCGGAGGTACCGTTATATGGGAGCTATATGAAAACGTGGACCTACATGGCCCATTTACGAACTTAACCTGCCTACTGGAAAAATAAACATGTGTGCAAAATTTTAGCCATCTATCTCAATTTATTCGAAAGATAGCGTGATTACAACAGACAGACAGACAGACGGACAGACAGACAGACAGACAGACGGACAGACAGACAGACAGACAGACATCGATAAATCGACTTAGAATTTTACGCTGATCAAGAATATATATACTTTGTTGGGTCTGACATGAGTATTTCGAGGAGTTACAAACGGAATGACAAAGTTAATATACCCTCCATAGTATGGTGGAGGGTATAAAAAGCAAACAACTTGTTGCATTGATTTTGAATAAATAGTTTAAAACCGCGAAAACTGAATGAATGGTCAAAATTTCTTTTCAATATCATGTTCTATATATCTCTTATGGTTTATTTCGCGACAAAAACTGTAGATTTTGTCGATGCATTCGTTGCAATAAGCATTTTGAAAACACCCGAATTTTTTATTTTTGAATTTTTTATTATTGAAAAGAAGACACACACATAAGCAAATGAAGTTGACATATTAAGCCAGAAAAATAAAAAAAATTAAATCATATGGTAGTTCTGCCCTACCTTGAAATCATTGTACCATGGTCCTATCGACACAGCTACTCGGACAATGAACTGTCAAACTAATGTTGAATAAAATCTTATTCTAATCGCTAAAATTTTGAAAAATGCATATCAAAACAACCTCAGATTCAACAACCTCAGACTCAGTCGTATAAGCATGGTAGAAGAATACAGGTAGATGCATTAATGCTTAGGAGCATTGATTTGCAAAAATGTTAATCATTCTTCAGAAATAAATAGATTTGTATATGTTTTCCTATACGATGCCAATCGGAGGTTGTTATGATATGCATTTTTTAACAATTTTTACAAATTTGAATAATTTTTCATTCAAAAATTTCAATTCAAAAATTGGTTTGACAGTTCATTGTCCCAGCAGATGTGTTGATGCGACTACCTGTATTTTTCTACCATGCGTAAAATAAAACTTTTAAAAATCTACAAGCGATGATGCATCTACCTCTATTCTTCTACTATGTTATGGATATAACATGTTGACAATGACATGTTGTCAAAGGTATAATTTTGAAAAAATAAACATATAATTGCGCAAGGTTACCTTCTTAATTCTACCATGCAATGAATCTAGGTTTACATTGAGTTTAGCTGCGGTACAATGCACCGAAGGTAGGTCTTGTTATCCGAATCACAGCGACATAAATTTGAGAGAAATCTGTACTTCCCGAGAAATAGGATTCCGAAAATACCGCTTTTAGTTTGCCATTCCTAAACCTATAATCAAATAAAAACTTGTTTTTTTTGTATCCTGATCACAACAACAAAATATTTTCGGGAAATGGGTCCACACTTCCCGAAATATAGGGTTCCAAATTTTAGAAAGTACTTTCATTATATGTTGTCGGTTATTTTAAAAAATGTTAAATTTAAGTAAACTTTGGTTCATGAGGCCGGTGTTGGACATACATCAGAGGAGAAAATCTCAAGCCCCGGCCGAAGGCCTGCTACTTTTAAGACTTTTTTGTTCGCAAAGCCGTTGTTGGGCATACACCAGTCCTTTGTTTGGAACCCTATTTTTCGGGGAGTATGTTGTAATCAGGGTACTAAAATCTACCTATAATAACATTTTGAATCTTTGGAAGCCTATATATCGGGAAGTATTGATTTCACCCAAATTTATGTCGCTGTGATTAGGATAACAAGACCTACCTCCTTCAGAATTTTCCGCCAGCTGGAGCTAAACTCAATTTGTTTCCGAATCTACAACAAGCATTTGTAAATATTTTTAGGAGCCACATATAGCGGTTTCAAACTCATTACCCTATTGTAATTTTATACTCGAAATAGTTCCATGTTTAGGTACTTATTACTCCTATATTACTCGTAACACCCTGCATGTTTTTGTGTGGTTTAGCTTCTCACAAAAAATACTTAATGTAGGTCAAATTTTTGTATTCTTCAAATGAGGATTTCAAACATATCAGCTTTTATTCCATATTTCGGTTTCTAGTACCTATATAACGGAATTTCCAAAATTTGGCGACTTGACCATAAGTAGTTTTAACCACCACCCATCTGCAACAGAATCCTATATAATGTTGCTTCAGTATGCTGTGTTATACAAAGTGAATAATAAACATTTTAATGTCTCCACCATAGCAACAACGGTGACAAGTACATAAAATTTTGCTAATTTTGGAATTCATCAATACGATGACTTATAGGTATCGCTCCGTTCAACCACTCCAAATGATTTCTAGCATTTAGCAATTTTCTCGAGCATACTTACTTAAGACAAAAATTCCAATTATGGAGAAACATTCGTGGAACAATATAACTACAAATAAAGCTTTTGGATTTTGACTAAACTCCAATGTATTATGGTATTTTCATTTCATTTTTCACAATCCAAAAAACAATTAGACTATAAATACATCCGTCTTATACATCCTTACATCCAAAATGGTTACACCACACTCAGTCGAAGTTTTTAGGCTTCATAACCGTCGGGCAAAGCGTTGGCGTGTGGGTTGTGGAACAAAGATTTGTTACCTTCTCCCCATGGGAAACGCTTATCGCGCTTGGCCAAGTATTCGTATTTAACGAATTCGGGGCGAGCATGGTGGGCATGTTCTTGGTGACCCAAGTAGGCGTTCAACATGCACAAACCAACAGCGGGGAATGCCACGAAGAAAGTCATACGCTTCCACAATTTGTAGCCGCCTGAAAAAGAAACAAGTTTGTACCTTTTAATAAAGTTATTGTGATGGGTTTTTCTCAAAATCCTGTAGACATTTTCGTTCACATTACATAACCTCCTTAACCTTACACTGAATGTGAGTAATTTTGATTTTTTCCATTTGGAATTTTCTTATTTACCAGAGTGTTCACCAGCGGTGGCGGCATGACCAGATGATCTTTGGGCAGTGGTCGCAATTTGGCGACGAATAACTTGGGACAGGATGGCAGACATTCTTCCTTGGATAAAAATGTAAAACACAGGCTGAAGTTTTTTTCTATCTGACGGCAGAGTAAATTTTTGACATTTGTCAAAATATAATTGGTGTTGCCAACTACTGTTCATAGTATTGGCGCGTGATTAACTAATTGAATCTTTAGCGTATGTCGTCCTGTGGAAATGTTTTGTCTATACGTTATCGAAATTTAGAACGAAGTCTTTCAGTGGTTATGGTCTTTAGCAATTTCATGTTTGCAATTTTTCAAAATTATACATACGACAATATCTTAATGCCAAAATGTTTATTTATAAATCTATTGAATATACACAAATCAGAGATGGAAACCAGTTTTCAATTAAGTTAAATTTGACAATGTAAATTACAGATACACACAAAATTGGCAAAGTCGGGCATACTCAGAAAAAATTGTAATCAGCTGGTAGCTCTACATACCTTTTTATTGTATCATGGGTATAACGAGTTAAGTTTACAATACATAAAACGCTTATTTGAAATTTTAAAATATTGTTTTTCGAAAATGAGTAGATTTTTTATATATGTTTTCTTATAAGACAACCGTCGGAGGTTGTTAAGATATCTATTGTGCTAAATGATTCTTATTAATATGATACAGCTAAGTAAAACTACTGAAAAACTACACTGAGGCTATGCCCACTTTCTGTCAAAACTAGATGCAAAAAATGGGAACGACATTCATTTGAAATTTTTTCCTCATTTTTGGAGTGAATAAAAAAACGAATGAAATACCTGCATTTTCTTTCAAAAATAGGATCTAAACTGTTTAATAGTTCAATTCCAAAGCATGGTAGAAAAATATATATGTAGACGCATCGACACAGCTGCTGAGGCAATGAACTGTCAAACCAATTTTAGAATTTAAAATGTTGAATGAAAAGTTATTTAAATTTGTAAAAATTGTTGAAAAACACGAATTATAATAACCTCCGAATGACGTCGTATAAAAAAACATATAAAAATCTACTTATATTTAAAAAAAACATTTAAATTTTTTGACATATCAATGCTCCCAAGCGTTGATGCATCTACCTGTATTTTTCTGCCATGGTGCAATGTTACCAATAGCAAAATTCTGCGGCCGGTTATTACATTTGTTGGTTCGATGAAACGAATAAAAAGCAGCTAAGCTCTACCGAACGTTTAATACCCTCCACCGTTTGGAAGAAATTTGCAGAATGTAAAAAAGTCGTTGAAATTCTCTGCAATTTAGGGCGACGCATATTAAAAATTCGAAATAATAATTGAGATAATTCTATCGAAATTTTAGCTAAAATCGTCAAAATACCGAATAATGGCACAGGCAATTTTCTGATATATGGAGTACCCATTGCGAACTTAAAATTCAAAAATTAAGACAAATCCGGTGTAAAGTGTAGCTAAATAACGAATAATGAGAGGAACCGTTAAATAAGTATATTACTGAATATACACATGTGATATTAGGTGCTTCTGGTCGTCTGTTAAAACGAAAGATCTGCAAAAGAGAGCGATTTAAGAGAACAATTTGGACAGTTCCTTCACTGAGAGTTTGCAAATTCTTGCTGGACAAGTTTCTTCTTGCAATCACTTGTTAATCTTCTACTCACTCCGGTGATTTATATTTGGACAAGTAAAACAAAATCATCTTTATTTTGGAAATCGCAAGCGTAATTGTTTTGTTTTTTTCGGCCATTTGTAATCTCTGTATGATTAATTTCTGTTTATGACCCACAAATTGTTTTTTTTTGACTAACCAGCTGATGGCTTGCAAGTTTTTACAGGGTTCCGTCTGTTTACTTTTCACAGTTTTCTTGCAAAAGAGAGTAAAACTGCCATACTCTCTCAGAAAAAGTTGCTGGACAATTCCTGCAGGAAAAGTAACCAAACACAAAGGAATAACAAAACTGGAACACAAAGAAAATATATAAGAACGGGCCTGTATCTAAATAAGAATATAATTAACGAAATTGTCTATTACTGCAAATTTTCATTTGTCTATAATGCCATGTTTACGTTAGAACTTTTTGCAGGGTTAACCTAATTTATGCTAGAAACACAATTGGAGCGAACGACGAATTTTTACGCGGCGTATGTTCGTCGTCAAAAATAAAATACATGTGTGTATATGGAAGTGCACACAATCACGGCGCCGGCGAAAATTTCGTCGGTCGCCGCGAACTCAATTAGCTTTATTTCTATTTCATACGCCGGCGAACGGCGACAAAACAGTACAAGGTGGCCATACTTGTACGAATTTTATGTGTTTTAGTACATAAAGTTACTTTTTACTTTAAAATTTGTTATGGTCACTCTACTATCTGTTATTCGTATAAAAATACATAAGTAATTTGTTTATTTATTTGTGCACTTGCGCCTGAGTGAAGATGGATATCAGTGAATTTATAATAGAGAAGATGGACATAACTGAAATTATAAAGAATTATGAGTTCTTGTATAATTTTCATTGTAGTCAACAAATGAGCAAAAAGTAAACAACTTCATCAGCTGTTTTATAATTTCGTCGGCATTGTGTTCCATACGACGAATTTTCGCGGCTCATTTTGTCGCCGCGTAGGGCGAAATTCGTCGTTCGCTCCAATTGTGTTCCTAGCATTAAGAGGATTTATTTGAAGTATAAATAATATACATGACAATTTTAATCCAAATCCAGTGGGTTAATCCATTTATATGTAAACGTATCAAATTATCGAGCAAAAAATTGTCGTTATGGTCTATCGCTATAGATAATGAAGTTTTTACATTTTATTTAGGATTTGCATACAAATGTTAATCTAAATTTTACCAATTTTTGTACATATCTGCGAAAACAAGAGAATCGCACGTTTAAAAGCTTTCAAATATATGACATATCATGCTGAAACATGCTGATGCATCTACCTGTATGATTCTATCATGGGGAAAAAAGTTTGCAGCGTCGACGCCGATGGCCAGCCATATGGTGCGACGCCGCCATCAAAAAACTTTCCGCTTCGCCATCTGTTCCAAATTATATTTTTTCTGCATAATTGTCTTCGTGTGCAATTTCTGAAATATTTTAAAATAAATATTTTAAAACTATATTGAAGGTAAGATATTTAACCGCTGGATTTGTAGTAGATATATTGAGCTAATAAATATTAGTTTTTATGACCTTGGGTATGATGAAACTTTTGAGTTACATAGGCAAGAGGTTCTTCCAACATAGGAAACCTACTATAGTTGACATCAAACTTTTTAACAATCTTTTATTTATATTCTTATATGCTAGCCTAAGGATTTTTAATATGAAGGTAAAGCTAGTTAATGCTTTATTTCTTTGCCATTAGATTGTGTGCTCTGATTTTCTAAACGTGTTTTATTTTCTTATTTTGTTTAGCCCAGCAACGTCAAAACATCCAATAAGAAGCGAAAGCGCCGCCAGCAGCCAAGAACTATGAATCCAGGGGAGATAACAACGACTGAAATTAACACAGAAATCAAATTAGAAGTCAAAGTGGAAACGGAACAAATTGTAAAAGTGGAAACCATTAAGAACCAACCAACAAATCCTGCTCCATGCACACAAAATCAGCCACCAGCAGCCATATCACAACACAACAGTGAAAAATCTAGGGAAGAAATAAAGGCCGAACGCGAAGCTAAAAAGTTAGCCAAACAAGCGAAAAAGACCAAGAGTAATCCATCGGGTGATTCAAGTACCACACCTGCTGCTGCCAACACCAAAATTGTCGCCGCTGTGAACGACACTGCGAAAGTGAACGAGAACTCCAATAACATGGAAGGAGTTGATGGAGAAAAATCACGCGAACAAATAAAAGCTGAACGCGAAGCCAAAAAATTGGCTAAACAAGCAGCAAAGGCTGCTAAAGCCGGTGGTGGTACAAACGCCGCTGTTGAGAATGTTACCGGACAAATGGCTCAGGTGAAAATAGCTGATAAGGCAACAGAGAAGGCGGCAGCACCATCTGGCTCTACAGCTGATGAGGAGAAGGTAAATGCCAGAAATTTGCTTTCAACTAGTTGGAAAGCGAGAGTTTTTAGAAGATTCAGGTCATGGCTGCGAACGGAACATAAAATATATAGTAACCAATCCGGTAACCAATATATATACTTTTTAAGTATATACAAACTATATGAGGAATATCAGAGTATATTTGAGTTGTCGGTTATTGAAAAAGCTCTACTGTTTTCCAGAAAAAATAAAGCTTTGAGTGTTTCGATAAATTCTTTGAGTGGTGGCAATTCCTCACATTCAGGTCACCCTTCGAAGTTAGACTTATTTTGCCCAGGATTGTTTAGCACTGGTAGCAAAAAAGAAATATAATTCAAAAATGTTAGTTTTCAGACAAGACCTGCACTATAGGTCGCTTTTAGGGAAAGAGATCTTTAATGTTTGTAATTCAATTAGAGGTATTTGACGACGCTAATATTTTCATATCAATGATTTGCCCAAACCAAACATATACCTTATATTTCATGCATATCCCTTTCATGTCATTACAGAAAAAGCCCGCTCTAACTAAAGCCGAACGTAGAGCCATACAAGAAGCCCAAAGAGCAGCGAAGGCACAAGCTCTAGCACAAAAATCAGCTGCGGCATCGAAAAGTAAATCACCAGCTAAGCCTGCAGCAGCTGCTACAAAACCAGCAGCCAAAACATTATCCGTACCAGAGAAGTCGTCACCAACCAAAGTCGCTGGCGGTAGTCCTAAACGGGCCACAAGTACATCTCCCGTAAAAAGTGTGCGTTTTAACGATGGCAACGTTAAACTGTTCAGTCATCTTGAAAGACCCACTACAAATGTAAATTTATTCGTCAATAATCCACAAATTCATCCCAGCATAGCCAGGCTGGGAGAGCAGTATGCCAAACGAGCCATAGTGGGTTCAAATGCCAGGTGTCTGGCTTTTCTTAATGCCGTTAAAATGGTAAATTGTTTTTTTTTTTTTAATTTCTTGACAAAACAGATTTATTATTGATTTTTATTTGTTTAAGGTTATTCAAGATTTTGAAACACCACCCAAAAAGGAGTTCTCCCGTAGTTTGGAAGCCCTACTTAGCACATCCGTCGAATATTTGCAAAAATGTCGCACTTTGGCAGTGTCTGTTATCAATGCCCATAAAAATTTGAAACAGGTTATAATGCAGTTGTCTAACGATGAACCAGAATCAGAGGTAATTCTTGAAGATTTACTTTTTGTTACAAAGTCGGAACTAATTTCGTTTTCAATTTTTCTTTGCTATATACAGTTGAAGGAGAAACTTTTTAATTTCATCGATACTTATATTGAAAATCAAATTGGCAAGGCTGCTCAGGCCATAAACTCGATGATGCAAAAGAAAATAAACAATGGCGATGTTATATTAACATTTGGATGGTAAGTTTTTATTACAATAAAATATAGGTATGTTTCAATTAAATTATTTTTTACTTTAATTTTTATGTTACAGCTCATCATTAATTTCCTTTATCTGCGAAGAGGCTCAAGCCCGTAATATCGATTTCCGTGTCATTGTCGTCGACTCCAGACCCTTCTGTGAAGGTCAAGAACTATTGCGTCGTCTAACGGCCAAAGAAATTCCCTGCACTTATGTTTTAATCAATGCCGTCAGTTTTGTTATGCCTGAAGTGACAAAGGTGCTCTTGGGTGCCCATGCCTTATTAGCCAATGGTTATGTTATGGCTCGCACTGGTACAGCACAAGTAGCTTTAGTTGCCCGTTCCTTTAACGTCCCCGTCTTGGTATGCTGTGAAACGCATAAATTCAGTGAACGCTTCCAGACTGATGCCATAGTCTATAATGAATTGGGCAATCCCGATGATATTGTTGTTGATGACAAATGTTGTTTATCGAATTGGCAGGCCAAGCATAAAATGTCTCCGCTTAATTTAAATTACGATATAACTCCACCCGAATTAGTAACAGCTGTGGTCACAGAAGTTTCGGTGCTGCCATGTACAAGTGTTCCAGTCATATTGCGTATGAAACCGGACTGGTCTACTGTCTAAGAGAAAATACCGCGGCGCACATGGTTACTAATTTATTTGTATTGAGGTAGAGGACTTCATATGAATTTTGGTGGTTAAATGCAAATAGATATCCCTTAGGAGTTGTTATAAGCTAAGCTCCCTTTTGTTAATCTGTATTTTTTTATATATGTACGTAAAAAATAAAAAAAAATATGAAAAATTATATTTTAATGATCATCAACACTGCCACGATAACCCCGATTAAACCAATAAATTCGTATGGTAAAAAAATACATTAGATCGAAAAGACTTAAAACGCTGATACCCAAGAATGCGGACATAATATTGTATAGGCTTACTGTAAGTACAAATACAAATAATATTTATTGAATTCAATAAAAAATAAAGATTTTTTTACTTACCCGCATAGTCAAGTTTTGAGTACATTACACTTCTTTCAAAGGACTCCAACGGTGGATAATCAATGGCAAACACAATTAAGCCAAATTTATTTGTATTCAAAGGGAAGCTCGACACCTGCGAAATGAATAGATAGAGAAACATAAGAAAATTTGAGATTTTTGTTGAAAACATTGGCAAAAATATGTGACATCCGCATTGACTCAGTTTATCTTTATGGAATTATTCCCGGTATCAATCTTTACCTCTGTCACAACAATCTGATTGATACAATTGGGATAACATTGACATTTCGCCGTCGATGGCAATGTTTTTGAATTTGAGTATATCTTACGAATTTGCCTTGCAAACCTATAGATACAATTTAAACCCGTTACATTGCAGATAGATATTTTAGCTATTGCAGACCGTGCTATGTTACGATTAAAATAGAAATGTGGTATGCATCGACATTTCTTAATAATGAAATTCAATCGACATTCCATCAAACATAGATTTTGAGAATAAGTTGTGGGAAACATTGAGAGATTTGAAGGCGCCATGCTATGGCAACGTCTTTCATCCAATGCTGTTTCGCTGAAATATGTAAAATAATAATAACAGAAATGTATTATACACGTATCCATTGTTAAAATTCACAGTACCTCAATAGATTTTCCTGAAATTTAATATCCTTAATGCCAACCACCAACTTGGTTCCTGTTCCCATATCATTAACAATTGCATTTGGTCGTGTCCATGTTGTGGGCAATTCATATGGCGAATGTACAAAAATGTCTATCGGTCCCTGTATGTTGTGTTTAATTTTTATACGAATGGGAAAACTATCACTAAAGTTGAAGGTGTATGGAAATTTATAGAAAGAATGGTTAATATAGCGGGCATGGGGATCAAACCAATATCTGAAAACATAATTCCAAATTAGTATTTAATTTGTCGAGCGATATTTTGTGTGGGCATACTTCGTATTCACTTCTCGGTATAGCAAATTCCTAAACGTGTAACAAATGCCCCGATCTGTCATTACTTTAACAGCAGGCGTATCATTATGAGTAACGCTGTAGATGTGTGATAAGCTAAAAATGCTCTATTATAAAATGGCTTTTTTAAAAAAGTAATTATTTTTTTTACTTAAAAACAAGTTCCATATAATCTTTGGGTTGTATGTTGTCATATGATGTCCTAAAGTATTCAGCTCGTCTTCCACTCACAATTGATAACTTTTGAAGAAATTCGACCATATTTTCAAATTCATCGTTGTCAGTTAAATTTTTGATGCTCCTATGTATTAGAAAGAAATATTGTTTTTAGAAAAAAAAAAAAACTAATTTTTAAGATATGCATGCATTTCGACATACAGAAATGTATATTCCTCAAATCGGTCAAATGATTTGAGTGTTTGCAAAAAAATCCAAGTTTCAAAACCGCAAACATCTAATTCCACCTTACATGCCAATTGTCTAAGGGTTGATTTTAATTATGACTCAGGCTCTAGGTCTCAAGGCAAACACCTCTTGAGCTGAATAACATTTCAAAAGCTGAGCCTCGATACAAAGTTCAGCGATTGTAATGACGATCGTCTATGGATTTTCTTGTTTTCGCACTGGAAATGATGTTCACCTAGTTTAATGCAATAAGGCGAACAATCTTATCGATGTACTGACTAGAAAGTCTACAATTCAGGTTTCAATGAGTTCAATAATGAGATGAAGAAAACTTATTTTCCGTCTCAAGTCTGGTTTAAGATGTCTCAACGAATATCACATTTAGTTTCTTTCCATAGTATGGAGGCTATGCCATGGTCGACCTCAATCCCTTCACATGGCAATGATGCACAGAAGACAAATTTTCAAAAAAAAGAAAGAAAATTCTATTTCGACTGATGCCGCTGTGGGCGTCTTACCACCCTTAGTCAACAAAGCTACGACTCAAAAGTTTACTCGGAAGAGGACGTGGATACCACGGGCGTACATGTCCCAATCTCTAGTCAGTGGTTAACTTCCAAGAAATTTGACTTAGGTTGCCTAACGGCCGATATGCCAATTCGTCATTAAACACCGACAAGCCCATGCTATCATAGCAGGAGACAATTGAGATAGAAAGAGGACAGATTGGTGTCTCCATTCATAAATGAAAGTGTCGCCAAAATCAAGTAGACAAGATATAAAAAGGAATATCGGCAAGCAGTAAATACTGCTATGTCGATGGGGATTCATCGAATCTCACGGATAAACAGTTGTAACTTATTATAACGAACCTGAAGATTATGAGGAAGTTGAGAGGACGTATCCTAACAAAACACTAAGGGATCGTTCGATAAGCAGGATTCCTACATGCAGAATAGCGGTGAAACCAGTCGATGACCCAAAATCAAGGCTAAAGGTGAGAATACATAAAACGCTTTTTTGACTGGCTTAAGCCGTCGGCTGGCTTCTTCGTAGAGAATAGCGGTGAAATCAGTCGAAACCAGGCTAAGTTTAACTCAGCGGTCCATTAAAACGCTGCGGGGAAGAAGAGGTATTCGAAGCCTGTTGAACCCCTTGAAATTAGCTTAGCCGAGCATATCCGTTGATTCATCAACTAAACTCGTTACAACGGGTATGCTTCGGTGGCGGCCAAACGGAATTATGCAAGGAAGAGGAGGAGGAAACGACTGAACACCTATTAAGACCCTGTCCCTTGTTAGCTCGCCAAATGCTATTAATAAACTCAATGTATATTGTAATGCATTGTAATGATCGTTCCATCGCCTAAAAATGTCCAAAAAGACTCAATGGGATATGGTGATACATTTTTAAGTGCTTTTCCCATTTTACAACACAATCAATGCACGTATTTCCCTAAAATTTTAATATTTCTCTTATCTTAAAGTCTCTTTTAAAAAGGAAATACTTCTTGAGGATATAAGTCAGTCCTATAAGTATGATTGCAATAATTTCATACACACTTACTTACTTTACTTACCTTACAAAGTGTTTGGCCTTTTCCACATCCAGTATTTCCCGGGGACATAATGTCACAGATGGATATAGGGTATTTAATTGCATATAATCAACATTGTAGGTTATAGCGGAGTTACGAGATCGATAGTGTTGTACTAATCTTAAACCACATATAACACTGTAGAAGAGCATATAAAAAATTATCACCAACCAATATATGCTAAAAATATAGAAACAGATACTTTAGCGAAGTTTTATTTGAAATTCATTCACAAAAAAAAGTTTATTCTTGATTTACAATGGGTGATTATAATATTCCCAATTGTTTGTTAGTTGGTTAGAAAGGTTGTTGAAATATGAGGGAGCTCCTTTTTCCTCATTAATTAAAATTACCTAATGTAAACCAGCATTCAATGTTTATTAATTAGTTTCCCATGTCAAATGTTCTTCTTTCATAAGCCTTTGGATCTGTTTCTCTATGAGAATATGAATTATGAAAAACACATGAGTTTTTTGTTCCCTCAGGCATATGGCTCCAGAGGTTATATATCATTTTATACGACAAAAATGTGTCTCATCGAAATAACGGTTTAAGGCCCTAGGCCTCTTTGGACTATATACATTTCAGGAAATTTGGAGTCGATCTACTCCTTCTGGTGCCTTCCCCACAAAAGGTCGAAATTTAAAAAAAATATATTTAACTGCACAGAAAGAGAAATGATAATCCGATTTTGCTCCAACTTTGCGAATTCTAATATTTGCATCAGTGCTAGACCAGGTGCGAAAACGGACAATCTCGGTCCACTCCTACCTCCCCCACAAAGGGTCAAAATTTTGAATAATTATAACTCCTATAAAATGTGATTTAGGATAACGTTTGTCTTCAATTCACACATCACAATACTTTTATAAAACCGCGGTCTGGTGTGCAGATGGAATATATCGGTCCACTCTTTCTGGCACCTCCCCCACAAAATGTCAAAATTTTGAATATCTCAATATTTCTATCAACACAAGATCTGTTGTAAAGATTGTAGAGATCGGACCATTCCTTCTGGCCCCCATAATGAGTCAAAGTTTTGAATTACCAAAACGTTTATAGGGTCCGACATAATCATCCGGTTCTCTTTTTATATTACACATCCCATTATTTTTTACTAACACAAGATCAGCTGTGAAGATGGGATATATCGGCCCACTCCTTCTGGTACCCATGAATACATGAAGCTCATTAAACGCTATATTAACATCCGATCCATTCAGGTATATCTCAGCACAAGATAAATATGGTAGAGATCGGGCCATTTCTATTGGTACCTCCCCGCATAGGGTTCAGGATTTGAAAAACAAAATGCTCAAAGAAGGCGAAATAAACATTCAACTCTCTTCAAATTCTACACATACAAACGTTACTGCTAACCCCTTCTAGTATCTCTAAACTAAATATTTCTCTCAACCAGAAACTTGAGATAAATATGGAATTTATGATTTTACATAAAATTGGATATAAATGTTCGATTTTCTTGTAATTCTGGCCATACCAATTGATCTGTATTAGATGAAGTATGAAAATGGAATACTACCATCGATTATATCTGGTACCTCACGCACATTTTAACATCATCTAAAAATTATCACATAATTCATACAAAGTGGATGAAGTAACCAATATAGTCGAACTAATCGAACATTGGCTGAGGGTATAACATCTGTCGGTCAAACCGACTGATACTTTTTAACTTGTTAAATCTGTATAAAAATATTTGGAATGGTGTTTTTCGTTTACATTAACTTTCGTATCGTAATAGAAAAACAGGCCCTTAATACCCATTTGAACTCGTTGTCCCACTTACAATTCACACCAATGTATATTGGTTTTTGCCAAATAACCCATACCATGCATGGGATTTCGGCTGGCAAAATCCACAACAAAACGTATAATTGTTTGGATTTTTGGTTTGTGTAGTAAGCCCAACATTTCTTCGTTAACAAATAGTGGAGACCTTTTCCTCTTCAAATCAAAATGAAAACTACAATTCCTTCTAGTTTTTACTAAAGCATATATATGGAGATAATTTTATTTCATAATACATTCGATTTTGTTTTTGGTTTATATATTATTATGTCTAACAGGTTTTGTAGAGTATAACAATCAAAGTTTATATTGATTGAATTTGATTATACAGTAAGTTAATTTGTTTTCGAGATTTATTTTTTCAAATAGATAAAATATTGCATTTGTGTTGTTGTTGTTGTGGTTGGTTGTAATGGTATGTATGTTTGTGGATAAATGTGACTGCAATTGGCTGGGGAAATTACAAATTTTAATAAGAAGGGAGTGGTGAATTGGGTGTGAAATATGTGACTGTAATGCAGATAATTGTCCAATGTCATAGTAAATTGCATTGCAAAACATGGGAATGATTTAAATTTTGATTTCTGTATTCTGTTCTTTAGAATCTTCCAATTTTAACTCTCAAACTATAAATTATTTAAAAATGAAGTTTTTGAAGATTTTTCACCCCACTTTTATATTAAGTTTTTTTTCTTTCTTTAATGAAAGGCAAACGAAACATGAATTTCTTTTTTTGTGCTGAAATAAATTACCTTTTGGACTTATTACTAGAAAAAAATTGACATTTGAACTACTTAAATTAATATAAGTTTAAACATAGGCAAAGAAATATAAAACAAAATTCAAAATTAAAATAATAATATAATTTAGTCTTCTTAGAAGTGTCTAATCTAAAATTATAACAATGTTGAGGAAGTAGTTTTTTGTGTGTCTGTTTTTTTTAATAACATTGAATTTAGATTAAGAGCATACTGTTGTTTTTATGTTTTTAATTTAAAATGCATTTTCAAATATACGTGTATATATTCTTTAATAATTTCAAATTTTGTAATATCTTGATTATTTGTCCTTAACATTAATTTTTGTTTTCAATCGTAATTATTTGTGATTTTTTTCGTTTTGATTCTATACACAAGCATATCGTAGATCCGATATATACACAACAAAACAGTGATGCTTAATTTATTCTTGCTATGTACCAGTTGAAAAGATAGACACAGACAGACAGCTTTCAATATACAGTAATATAAACATATCTTCGCCGTTACCCATCCATGACATCAACGGGCAAACAATATAGCGTCCTTAGCAAGCAACCTTATTTTATTTATAGCATTTATTTTCCATTTACCTTTTTTTTAACTCTTAATTATCCCAAACATTTAACACAGCAGACTTACGCTTGGTGTACAAGCGATACAGGAATTCCGTTTGACTAAACAGTTTGTGTTTCATCATAAATTTATGGGCTAATCTTCTGTACCAGACGAAAACACGTACGACATACCGGTACCGGTTTGCCGCTATCCTGTCCAGGTAGGGGGATATTTTTATCGATACATCGTTCACAGAATATTTCCCCACATTTCCAGCAATGGGTCTGTAAGGGAAAGAATGAAGAAAATTATTATTAGGTCTATAAATTATTTACGGGGTGAGATCAAAAAAACTGCAACCAATTCCAGACTGCTGTCATTTCTAAGCCACTCGTCCGACAGCTGTTAAAATTATTCCAGTGACAGCTCATTATATGTTTGTCCGAAAAATGGCTCGTGAGCTGAACATATCGCAATATTCCATTCGGCAAATATTGGAAAATGGGCTCGGGCTAAAGCCATTGAAATTCCAAAAAGTGATCGATTCAAAAGAGCTAAAGTGCACATTCGGTTGGCCACCAGAACTCAAGTGCCGTCCATGATGATGGCGTGGGCCGCCATAACAGACGATTGCCGCTCTCCGCTCGTATTAATCGAACGTGGCTTCAGAATAAATGCCGAATATTATTGCGAAAATATTCTGCAGGGGTACGGGAGCTGGTGTCTTCTGTGATACCCTTAATGTTCGTGAATCCTACAAGCTTAGAAACAACTGTAGTGTATTTCAGCCGGAAATCTTTGCGGTCAAAAAGGCCACAGACCTGCTGAGGTCAGCGGTCCAGTGACTATATATGTCGATAGTCAAGCGGCACTGAAGGCCTTAAATTACTTTACTATCAAGTCTAGTGCTGTTTTAAACTGCAGGAAAGCCTTTGAAAACACTGGGTTGTCCATCAAGCTCTGTTGGGTTCCTGACCATTATAACATCCCAGGTAACGAGACTGCAGACGAATTGGCCAGGCTAGGATCCGAATCAACTACAATTGAAGTAGACAACTCGGTTAAACCACCACTCTGCCATTTCCTGCAGGTCATTTACAGACATTACTCTGAGAGCATCCAACAAAAAGTGGCTGGGCGAAATGGGATGCAACATCTCCAAAAGAATCTGGCCCACACTCTCAGACAAGAGAACAAGGTCGCTGATGTCATTGTCAAAACCTGATTTAAAACTTGTGGTGGGTATCATCACAGGTCATTGTAAGGTGAGGGATATGACCTAGAAGTGGGACAGCGGCGACATTGACTACTGTAGGATCTGTCAAGATGAAGAAGAAATCGAGACAGTCGAACATTTGCTCTGCCACTGCCTAGCACTCATTAATGTGAGACACAGACTAGTGGGAGAACTAGTGTCATATGATCTGTCATCTTTTTCTAACACTGGCCCTATAGTAATCCTTCAATTAGCCCGAAGATTCAAGTGGCTAAAGACGACACGGAAAACTCCTCAGCCGTAGATCATACTCTACAACTCTATCTCTTATCTCCACCTCTTCTACCAGTCACTTTTTCCTCTTTTCTTAACATTCTTCTAGGATGAACACAATGGACCTATAGGTCTCCGAGTGGAGCGGTTGCCATATGGTAACCGCGCGTCCTTTAACCTAACCTAACCGTCTGCAGGGGTGAGGTTCCTCGCTTCATTTCCAGCGCACAATGGCCACCAAAATCTCTGGATACCAATCCGTTGGACAATTGTGTCTGGAGTATTTTGGAAAGCAAGTGTCGATCACCTCAAGCAAGCGCTTCGCCGGGAATGGGCCAAAATACCGCAGAACAACATTCGGGCAGGGTGTGACGGTTTCATTGGCCATAATTCGTGCCAAAAGTGACCGATTCGAACAAATCTAAACTTATTCTAAAATTTCCGACATTTTTTTGCTTTCAGTCAAAAAATTTGAAAAAAATGTAAAAATTATGGCGTTTGACTTTGTTGCAGTTTTTTTTTTATCTCACCCTGTATTTTTATTAAAATATTTGGATTTTAAAATGAAATGTCTCATCTAAGGTATATCTAATAAGGTACTAGAGACAATCAGCTCCTTTTTAAATGATGTACCTTAAGATTTTTAAAATATTAAATAATTTAATATTATATCGCATAGAATCTAAAACATGTTTTCAGGTTATTCTTAAAATCTTCGTTGACTTTATACAATTTCTTTGAAAGGCTCTATTAAAAAATTGACTAACTATTTTCTATAGCAACAATGTTGTTATTATAAAGTTTTTAGATTATACATAAATTTAGCCTGTTTTCAACATACCTTCTTACTAAACTGGTCGAATGGTGTTGAGCAAGAGCAGGCTGTAACATTACGCATTGATTTCCAATCAACAGCTACCGAATTGATTTCTTCATTTATTGTACTGGGATCAACTTCGTCGGAGAGCTAAGTAGATAACAAGATATAAATAAGTTAAATACAAGAACCAATGATTATGAAACTTTTAAATTTACCGATAAACTGGCAAATGACATGCCACCACCACCACTGCTGCTGACACTGGAGTTAGCACCGCCATTACTGCCACCAGCAGGTTTCAAAGGATGATCATCATCTGCCGATGACAGTTCGCTCATTTTCTTATCGTAATTATATCTTTGTAGAGGAAAGGGATGGAATCAGTTACTATAAAATAAAGAATTAAAATTTCTTACTTATTATCATTGGTATCCGTTGCTGAAGATTCTTTGGTTGTTGATTTCGAGGATGTAGCGTCTTGTATTTTCTTTGCCGATTTGGAAATGTAATTCTTAAAGCTAGTAATACGCTGTAAAGGAATATGTATATTTGTTAATTTCAATATTAAAACAAAAATATTTAAAATATTAAAATGATGATAGTATACCTTAGTCAAATGTTGTACATGATCCTCTAAGGAAGTTGTGTGATCCTTACTGGCAAGCAAAAGATCGCCCAATGGCTCTCGTGGATGTACACCGCTTTCAAAACGGCTATACATGCCACGCCAGAATCTGTTAATTCAAAATAAATTAAATAAATAAAAATAATAATTATAAAATATAAAAAATCAGAAATTAAGAAAACTGAAAATTTAAATTAGGGTCCCATACCCACTTACTTAATACATTGTGGTGCCAAATTCGGTTTAATTGTCTCATCAACATCGGGTTTATATAAGGGATTAATATACTCATTCAAATGATTAGACATATAACCCCACAACGAGAAGGTCCTCTTTGCTAATTGCAAATCCAAACGATCCTTTTCACAATTGCCCACAAAGGTGCCAAACTGACAGGAATGTACATGATCGTGCAATATTAAAAGGAAACGTTCATTAAATTCAAAAGCATCACTACGCTGTGACATCAACTGCCAGGTGCAATCCAGAAATTGTGTGAAAATTGGTGAAACTTCTCGCGGATCGTTTTGTATGTGTCCACAGCGGTCGCTGAATTTGTGACCAAAGGCCAGCCAGTCCTTTTCGATGAGAGCCTGGAAATATAGGAATTGAGTTACATTTATTTTTTCTCTTAAATGGAAAATATGTTCTCTTTTACCTGAAAGCCTTTTATTGTACGATAGTATGGATCCAACATCAAGGCAGCCAACGAACAAACTTGTGCGGTACGATCCCAACCATCCGAGCAATGGACCACCACGGAGACACCTTTGTCCACCACATTCGAAATGAAGCTGCGAAGAAAAATTAAAAGAAAAAAATCGTTTTAACAAATTTAAATGGGAAAAAAGCAGATCCAAATTCCTTATTAAACCTTTCATCCTTTTAATGACTACAAATTTTCTGCGATTAACGATGTTCTCCGATTTTCATATATTTTTTTTTTCATTTTCCCCCCTTACCAATGTAAAATCCAACCACACTTTCATCCGTCTACTCACCTCGACGTATCCAATATTGAGCGTATATGCTTTAGCCAACCCGACGATTCCAATGCATTAAGGAAACCACTCATTGTTGGTGCTTTCTGTTCGCAGGCTTCAATCAATTTCTGTAAACTTGTCCTTTGTGTGTGAATATTCTCAATACCAAGAAAATGGAATTTTATGTTTTCATAGAATGCCTCATTTTCGTACCCTTTACCGGCGGCTCGATTTGCCAAAGCATTTATCTGAAATGGAAACAAAAAAAGTCGAAGCGTTAATACAAAACAAACAATAAAATATTCAAGTTACTAGGAAAATAATACAAAATATATTATTCTGGAAAATTCGAGAGTAAGGAAAATGTTCGATGGTGGATATTAACGCTATCGAAAAATAATGGTTGTGAATAATTCAAAGCCTCAAAGATAGAATACGAGAGTCAATCGAGGACATAAGATAAACACTTTGTGAATTTATTATGCAAACTTCCATATGGCTAGAGAGGGTATTTATCATTTGATACAACCAAAACGTGCCTCATCGAAATAACGGTTTTAGACCCTAGGTCTCTTTGGACCAAATCCGTTTCTGGACATTTGGAGTCGATCTAGAGATGTCCGTCTGTCTGGCTGGCTCTCGAAGGGAGTACCCGATTTTTTCCAAACTTTGTACATCCTAATATTATTATAAAACTTAGATCGAGTTCGGAGATGGGCAATATTGGTCCAATCCCTCTGGCACCTCCCCCCAAAATTTACTGCACAGAAAGAGAAAGGATAATCCGAGTTTGCTACAATTTTGCAAATCATAATATTTCCATCAGTGCTACATCAGGTGCGAAAAGGAACAATATTGGTCCACTCCATTAAGAACCTCCACCTCAAGGGGTAAACATTCTGAATAATTCTAACTCTTATAAAATGTGATGTAAAAGTCCGATTGTCTCACAATATTTGTATTAGCCCAAGGACTGATGTGAAGATGGAATATATCGGTCCACTCCTTTTGTACCTTCCCCACAAAGGGTTAACATTTTGAATATCCGTGAAGCTCATTAAACACGAAATAAATGTCCGATTCCATTCAGAATTGGACATCTCAATATTTCCATAAACACAAGATCTGTTATAAAGATGGTAGATTAAATCATTTCTTCTGTTACCCTCCTCCACAAAGGGTCAAAGGTTTGAATAACCAAAACGATTATGAAATCCGAAATAAGCATTCGATTCTCTTTCATATTTCACACATAAAACAAGATCAGTCCACTCCTTCTGGTATCTCCCCTTCAAAGGGTAAAATTTTTGAATATCCGTGAAGCTTTTTAAACTGGAAAATAACATCTGATTCCATTCAGACTTGGCACATCTCAATATTTCCATGGTAGACGGTTCAAGATTTTGAAAAACAAAACGCTCAACGAATGCGAAATATATTAAAATATATCCCTCAACCAGAAACCTGAGATGAATATGGAATTTATGATTTCGCATAAAATTGGATATAAATGTTCGATTTTTTTGTAATTTTGACCACACCAATATTTTTATCTACATTAGATGAAGTATGGAAATGGAATTCTTCGGTCGACTATATCTGGTACCTCACGCACATTTTAACATTTTCTTGAAATTATCACATGTCTCATATAAAGTGAAGGAAGTAGTAGGATATTTATATCATATTTATGTAGGTCACATAAGAAATGGACAATATTGGCTCATTCCTTTGAACCTACTCCATAGAGGGCCAAATATTTGAATAATTATAACAGAAGTTAAAATATATTCAAATAATCGAACATTGGCTGAGGGTATAAATCTGTCGTCAAAACCGACTGATACTTTTAGCTTGTTTTCATAGTGTTTGTGCAATTCAGCATTTTCTATTCAGCGTCTCTACCGCCAACCCTACTTTGGTTAGAAAATCGGAAAAGATCGATTATCTGAAATCATTTGGGAATATAAGGCATTTATATTGTGAAAGTACTCATCAAGAACTTGAATTTGATCCGTGCTTCAATAACGAACCTATCATATTTACCCTGCTTTGGATAGAAAATCGGAAAAAATGGATTATCTGAAATCACTTGGGAATGTATGGCATATATTCAGAGAGTGCTCATCGAAAGCTTTCATTTGAGCATCGATCATAGTTTTTGTGCAATTCTGCATTTTCCCTGCAGTTTGCTACCGCCAACTCTACTTATGTCGGAAAATAGGAAAATCGATTATCTGAAATCATTTGGGTATATAAGGCATATATATTCATCTATAATAGTTTTTTTTTTTTTTGCAATTCAGAAGTCTGGAAATTATGTGGTTTTTTGTAAAAAAATATTTAGGAGAACCATTTTCATCTCAGTAATTTTATAAGTTAAGTAAATGTATATCGAGGGTTATTAAGTTCATCATTCCGTTTGTAACTCATCGATATAATAATTTTAGACACAAGAAAGTAAATATATTCTAAAATTCTAAGACGATTTAAACCTGTCTGTCCGTCCGTCTGTTGTAATCACGCTAGTGTCAAAATGACTAAAGATAGGAAAGTAAAATTTTGCATCGATCTGCCTTTTGTCTGCAGGCAGGATAAGTTCGAAGATGGGCTTATCGGTCCACGATATCGTATAGCCCCCATATAACTGTACCCCCGATATTCGGTATTTTTACCAGATTTAACAAAATTTTTCAATCGAATTGTTCTTCGTGATTACTTTACCCCCTGAAAAAGAATTGTCTATATAGGTCCACAATGTCTTATATCCACCATATAACTGTAAATCTCGATATTCGTTATTTTGAGGATTTTAGCTACATTTTTATTGGGATTGACTGGGAGTTCTCTGTGAGTACTTTACCCCTGAAAGAGAATTGTCTATACAGGTCCACGATATCGAATAGCCCCCATACAATGGTGGCCCTGATATTGGGTATTTTGATGATTTAAGACACATTTTCAATGTAATTGGCTAAAAATCCACTTAAGGAGTTCCTTCTGAGTACTTACCGCCTGAAAGAAAATTCTCTATATAGGTCCATGATATCGTATATCCCCCATATAACTGTACCTCCCTTTCTATGACATTGTAGGAAATACACATACATTTCTCTTTGAGTACTTTAACCCCTGAAAGTGAAGTTTATACATAGGTCCACGTTATCGTATAGCCCCCATAAAACGATACCTCCCTTTATTCGGTATTATGATGAAGTTAGCTACATTATTCATCGGAATTGTTTCGAATTTCGTATCTGAAGTACGGAATCGTTACTACAGCCTCATGGTATAATTATTACAGGTAACAGCAAGTCCCAGCTGATTTGACTCTATAGTAATACTAGTGTCAAACTCGATATGAGGTTTTGTGATTTAATTCCATTTCTTGATATACAATATGTATACCCTTTTTATACCCTACACCACAAGGTGGTCAGGGTATTATGTCTTTGTGCATTTGTTTGTAACAGGCAGAAGGAAACGAGATAGACCCATAGTTCCTTTTGATGATCTGCATAGAATCACATTCTGAGCCGATTTATGCATGTCCGTCCGTCCGTCTGTCCATGTATTTTTGTAAACAAAGTACAGGTCGCATTTATTGCCGGATCCAAATGAAATTTTGCAAAGATCTTTTGTTTGGCCCAAGGACGAACCCTATTGAAATTGGAGATAATCGGTCAAAATTTAGATATAGCTCCCATATATATCTTCGTCCGATTTGCCTTTTATTGTGCACCAAACGTGTAATATCAGCCCGAATTGTATGGAATTTTGCATATACACCCAAATTAGGCCTGAACATATGTATGCCAAATTTGATCGAAATCGGTTCAGATATAGCTCCCATATATAACTTCGTCCGATTTACCTTTTATTGTGCACCAAACGTCTAATATTTGTCCAAATGGGATGGAATTTGGCACTTACGACCGAATTGAGTCTAGAAGCTAGTATGCCAAATTTCAGATATAGCTATAGCTCCCATATATATTGTTCATCCGATTTGTTATATTTGTTACCCACAACCGTAATATGCACTCCTTAACAACGATATTCAGGGAAATATATCAAATATAGCTCAGAAATATCTTTGCCAAATTTTATCGAAATGGGTTCAGATTTGGATTTACCTTCGAATATATATTTATCCGATTTCAAATTAATTGTGCACCAAATGACCAATACAAGTCCGAATGGAGAAAATACAAATGCTTCTGCATATTTAGTCCTTTAAACTTTAAATTATAATCATAGGGTGTATGATTGAATTCTCCCTTAAAAACTTTTAATTGTTATGTGGAGCTCTACTTAATTAGCAAAGTGGTGTAGGGTGTCATAAAGTCGGCCCCGCTCGACTTTAAGACTTTCTTTACTGGTTTGATATAAAATTTCACTGCAGGGCAATGTGAACATATTTTTTGCCTAATAATAGAAATCGCCGTTGTACTTAATAAAACGCCAAAGGCGATAGTTCGGAAACTGTTTTGCGGTTAAGTAACAGCGACATCACGTTAAATAATATATTCGTATGTTACATGTTTTCTAAAATTGCAAAATGTAGAATACAATGGTGTTTGGTTTCAACTTGAAAGCGATGTTGCCTTTTCCACGATTTTCTAGCGATTACTTGAAGTCTTGAGAGATAAGGACTAACAGCTAACAACTATACATTCAGAGGAACTATTCTTCTGCATTTTCAATTTAATAATCCAAGTTCATAAAAAGTATATTTTTAAAATTAAAATAATTTATTGAAAATTAATTACTTTGTTTACATTTTTGGACACATAACTCTGACACTTGTATTAGATACAAATATAAATTTGTATGTGGTTCTTGTTACGATTGTTGTACAACAACACTTGCTGTTACCTGTATTATTCTATCATGCTACAGCCTATGGCAAAAAAATACTTATCTAACACTATGTCTTCGTAAAGCCCCCATATAATTTGCCCCCCCCCCATTGAGCGGTATTTTTGGAAATTTTTCCAAGTTCTTTCCGATTGGTGGAGGGTATAAAAATATTCAGCCCGGCCGAACTTAGCTGTTTTTTTTACTTGTTTTTTGTTTTTAACGCTTTATGCTACACAAAATGAACCGAAAGGTCTCCAAATGGAATATTTGCCAATCAGGACAACAGTGCGTCATTATACCAAACACAACCTTGCCTCTGAATATGTAATAGTATAAAACATTCAATAGCAAATATGAACTTAACAAAGCTAATATTAAATATATGCATAAGTAAATAAACATATAAAATGTCAATATTTAATACATATTTTAATTTTAACAATGTTATATCAACAGTTTCATGAAAAAGTGTTTACAGACAATACCCAACATACCAAATTGACTTGAGAATAATATTTTAATAAGCTTACAAACATAAGTCTAAAGCTTGAGAAAATCTTGAGAATGTATTGAGAAATGTTTGTTTAACAATTATAGAATAATCGAAAAGGAACCCTTATTCATAAGCTTATTCTTGTAATTGCAGAATAAGCTTACGAAAGTAATATTTTATAAAGCTTATTTTTTCAATGGTAAAAAATATTTATTTATTCATTTTTTAATTATTTTACACATTTCATTCATTGATTGCCATCCCAGCTGTCACTGCATCCTGTTGCCTTGATACCTAGATGCTTTCTTTCCCCTTATTTGAGCTTCTGTATCTCCTCCACTTATTCTTCACTTCTGTTGAATTCCTGCAACTTTTTGACGCCTCCATTCTGAAATGAGATTGAAATAATTTATACTACAGATTCCCAGATTTATTATTCATCATTACCTTAGAGTTTCGTCCGGAAATGGGTCCTAAATTCGCGTGATTTTGATTTTAACCAAAGAAAATAATTTTTTGTTGACAATTTTCACAAAAAAAATCAAAACAAATTTGTCAACAAAGGACAGATTTGAGAAAAGTTTGTGCAAAAAAGTGTTTCTCAAGCATTGTTGAAAAATTCTTATGATAAACTATTTTCATAATATTATTCTCAAGCTGTATTGTATTTTTGGTATGTTGGGTATATTTTCTTTAAATTTCATAGCTTTATATCAGGGCAAGGCAGAGAGCCTCAAAAATTTTTTGTGATTGTATGTGTTTTGAAATAACAAAATATTGCAAATGTGTTTTTGCCTCTCTTTACAGAGTGAGAAATAATTAGTTATCTTTAAATTTTCAATTTAAAATTTTTTTGTTTTCAAAACGACTTTGTTAGTAATCGGAGATATATTTGTAGAATTATTTCAATTATGATTCATTTTAAAATTAAAAAATAAATAAGTAGACATTTTCAGAAATTGTATATAATTTTGATGTTATTTTTATTAAATAATTTCGGACATAACATGCTAACTATCTATGTTGACCCTTTAAAAAGTAATACAGATTTCCACAGGCTGGCATACGCAAATAGTCATATCCTGCGTTGTGTTCTAAAAGATTATTTCTACGAATTACAAACAGAATGATAAACATCGCATCTTTCTATTTTTCCTAAGATTGACCAAGACTGTACATGTCATTTCATAGAAATCGGGGGATATGAAAATGTCTACTAATTTAGAAGGACAATTAATTTGTCGGTCAATAGTATGTTGGGAATTTATTTTTTTTTAAAGTTGTGTTGGTGAATACACAGATATCCCAATGGATACCCAACATACCAAATTGACTTGAGAATAATATTTTAATAAGCTTTCAAACATAAGCCTTAAGCTTGAGAAAATCTTGAGAATGTATTGAGAAATGCTTGTTTAACAATTATAGAATAATCGAAAGGGAACCCTTATTCATAAGCTTATTCTTGTAATTGCAGAATAAGCTTACGAAAGTAATATTATATCAAGCTTATTTTTTCAATGGTATAAAATATTTATTTTTTAATTTTTTTAATTATTTTACACATTTCATTCATTGATCGCCATCCTAGCTGTCGCTGCCTCCTGTTGCATTGATACCTAGATGCTTTCTTTCCCCTTATTTGAGCTTCCGCATCTCCTCCACTAATTCTTCACTTCTCTTGAATTCTTGCAACTTTTTGACGCCTCTATTCTGGAATGAGATTGAAATAATATTCACTACAGATTCCTAGATTTATTATTCATCATTACTTTAGAATTTCGTCCAGAAATGGGTCTTAAATTCGCGTGATTTTGATTTTAACCAAAGAAAATATTTTTTTGTCGACAATTTTCACAAAAAAAAAAAAAAAAATTAAAACAAATTTGTCAACAAAGGACAGATTTGAGAAAAGTTTGTGCAAAAAAGTTTTTCTCTAGCATTGTTGAAGAATTCTTACGATAAACTATTTTCATAATATTATTCTCAAGCTGTATTGTATTTTTGGTATGTTGGGTACTCTTTGCCTAGCCTTGCTTTATATGGTTAAATACTCTAAAGAAAAATATTAGTCAAGTCAAAGAAATTTAAAAATTTCTATAGTAACCCCCTCATATTTTTTAAAAATCTTCCAAAACTTTACTGACAAACTGTATACAATTGCAAATATTAACATTTAAGGAACAACAAAACAACTCAATGACCAAAAAAAATCAAAACAAAAACAAAACTTACCCTGGGTCGTGTATCCACAACATACATATAATCGGTATTTGGATTTGTTTTACGTATTGCTTCAAGCATTTGTTCATCCTCCAAGCAGCGGGCACTAAAACCCGACAATGGCTGGCTGCAACGGCAAATGGAAGCCTAGGGAGAAAAGAAAGAGGAGAAACAGAAGAATAAATACAATAAAAGCAAATTTCCATAACGTGTCATAAAGAGTAGATGGATGGATGATATGTCGCCTATATCTGTTTGTGTGTGTGTGCTTGTCTTGTATCAATAAAATAGAGCAGAGAGTAAGTATATCCTTTGCTGGATATGTAAAGAATATGCTTCAACAGGGTTTTTCTTTCTTCCATCCATTTCCTTTTCTTGTGCACAGTGCAGAGCGGCGATGCAAGGGAAGAACATCATGGCACTTAAGGTCAAACGAAATCATCATCCTTTATAATATTCCGTGTAAGAAAGAAATAAAATAAAGAAAGCTTTTAGCATATCAAAGAGAACCTGCCTTCTGCCTGCCTGTCATTCATGATGATTATGCTAAAGGAAGTCGAAATGTTTGTTGTTAGTTTTGTTGCCTTTCACTCTCTCTATCTCTCTTCTTTCAGATGCTAATTAGGTCATTTGATGTAGCAATCTTTTTAAATTGCCGCTCTAATGATATGATTAATCTACTTTTATGAGATAACTGCACGGATAATGTGGCAATCGGGGAAGCTACTAATAGCTTCTGTTGTATGTGTGGGATATAATGCTGAACAAAAATGATAATAATAAGAAATGCAAAGGGAATTGCAAAACAGGGAATACATAATTAAGGAAAACAAAAATAATTAAAATTAATAACATGGTCGGGTAGGAGGGTTGCTGTTTAACGAAAGAAAGGGATTGTCATATAATCCTGACCATTTAAGTCATTTAGAAATCAAATCAAATGGTTTAAAGTTTCGATTTAATTTCGACACCCTTGGTAACAAATAGTTTCTAATATTCCTGAATGAAATTAATATCACACAAAAACCAACCTTTTTTTGACAAACTAGAATGAGTAGAATAAAGGAAAGTAAGGAAGATAATACCCTTTCGACGATGCAACGTTTTTTGAATGTATCTTGTCAGAAAGACTAATCTATGAATAAGATTTATGGATCTATATATATGTATACCCTACAACACACTGTGGTCGGGGTATTATGTCTTTGTGCATTTGTTTGTAATATGGAGAAGGAAGCGAGTAAGACCCATAGTTCCTTTTGATGATCTGCATAAAATCACTTTCTGAGTCGATTTTGGCATGACCGTTCGTCCGTCTGGCCATGTATTTTTGTAAATAAAGTACAGGTCGCTTTTTTGCCCGATCAAGATGAAATTTTGGAAAAAACATTTGTTTGGTTCAAGGACGAACCCTATTGAAATTGGAGATAAACGGTCAAAATTTAGGTATAGCTCCCATACAGGGTGAGATTAAAAAACTGCAACCAATTTCAGACTGCTGTCATTTCTAAGCCACTCGTCCGACAGCTATTAAAATTATTCCAGTGACATATTTGGCTGGAAAACCACAAGTGGCTATCGTTAGGGAACTCCAGCATTTAAATGTGAATAAATCGCTTGTGTCTAGTACCATCGCTCGTTACCGTGATACTAGTAACGTAGCCCGAAGTCAAGGAAGTGGACAGAAGAAAACAGCAACATCAGCAGATATGGTTCGAAACATAAAGAAGCGATTTGATCGAAACCCGCGTCGTAGTGACCGAAAAATGGCTCGTGAGCTGAACATATCGCAATATTTCATTCAGCAAACATTGAAACATCAGCTCGGGGTAAAGCCATTGAAATTCCAAAAAGTGCAAGAACTTACACCGCAACGGAAAGAAAATAGACTTAAAAGAGCTAAAGAGTTGCTTCGCTTGGCCGAAAGTAGAGAACTGCCGAATTTGGTTTTCTCCGATGAGAAAACGTTCGTTGTCCAGCAGTTTGTAAACAAAATGATCCGCTCGTGTTTACTTGCCAAAGAGGTCAGCGAAAATTGTGCACCTTCGGTTGGCCACCAGAACTCAAGAGCCGGCCATGGTGATGGTGTGGACCGCCATAACAGCCGATGGTCGCTCTCCGCTCGTATTAATCGACCGTGGCATCAGAATAAATGCCGAATATTATCGCAAAAATAGGGTGTATTAAAGCCTTGGGTACGTAAACATTTTGGTCGCAGACCTTGGACATTCCAACAGTACTCAGTACCATTGCACTCAGCACGCGCCACCCAAGAATGGTTACAAAATGAGGTTCCTTCCTTCATTTCCTGCGCACAATGGCCACTAAAATCTCGGGATACCAATCCGCTGGCCTATTGTGTCTGGAGTATTTTGGAATGCTAGGTTGGCACTAAAAAATACCAAAGTGTCGATCACCTCAAGCAAGCGCTTCGCCGGGAATGGGCCAAAATATCGCAGAGCAACACTCGGGCAGCGTGTGACGTTTTTATTGGCCGTTTGAAGGCCATAATTCGTGCCAAAGGTGACCAATTCGAACAAATCTAAACTTATTCTAAAATGTGATGCTATTTCTGACATTTTTTGCTTTCATTCAATTAAATTAAAAAAAATGTAACTTTGTTGCAGCTTTTTTATCTCACCCTGTATTTATGCAAAGCAGTGTAGGGTATCATAAAGTCGACCCAGTCCGACTTTAGCCTTCCTTTACTGGTTTTATTTTTTATATCTTCTATTACAAGACCAATTTGATTCCGTCGAAAAGACCCATTTGCATTCATTGACAATTTACAGAAAGCGAGTAATGTGGCCATCAGGAAAACTACTAATAGCTTCGGTTGTATATATGGGATATTATGCGGAGCAAAGACGATAACAAGGAATGCAAAGGGAATTTCAAAATAGAGAAAACATAACTAAAGAAGAAAAAAATAATTAAATTTAATAATATAGTGGGGTGGAAGTGATGTTGCTTTACTATGCTAAAGAATAGGTGGAGCAATATAATCCTGAAAATGTACGGCAATGGGAAACTAATCGGAAGACCAATGAATTTAGTTCCAACACCCTTCCTAACTCAAAATGCTTTAGTCTGTTCAATAAAAGGCAAGGCAACTGCTTGTCCAATTAAGACGAGGAAGACAATGAATACTATTCAGACAACGAAGTTTCAGAAAGACAATTATATAAACAAGATTTGTGGCTTTTCTGAGGGAAGATCGTTTTTTTTTTGTCTTCAAATCTTACCATAAACTCTATTTGTCTTTTATGAGAAGACAAATTTATCCTTTATGAGAATTTCTTCTATGAAAGCATATAGTATTACTTTTGAGACTTTTCCGAGCAAACCTACAGGGCTTCTACAAAAAGTCCTATAGATCGGCACTGTAAGCAATACAGCCTTCTCAACATTTATCTTAACTTACCTTATTGGAATGTAAATATGTGAGCGCCGGCAAACGACCCTTGGAACGAAAACGTGAACTGCCAATCAACATGGCCGTATTAGCCTCAGACGGTACATAGATTTGACGTGGATAGGTGTCACATAACTCATAGTTGGTATTCAAATTACACATGGTCCAAATGTCATTGGGCACACGCATTCGTTTGAACTCGGCTTCCAATTTGAAAAAATCCCAGCCGGCATTTTTGGGAAAATCATCTTTGGCGGGTTGGTAATTGAAACAATACAATTTGTTGATGGATACTGGAAGGAGAGAAAATGTTGAAAACACAAATTAAAACCTCTTCAAAAATATTATTAGATAGATAATAACCCACCAGGTTGATAGAGCTTTAGCAGAGATGTATAGACATCATGACACTCGGAATCTTTGGGCACCACAAATGTCACCGACAAAAAGGTCTTGCAGCGTATCAACAGCGGTGATCCGGTGGTGGTTAGGGGTAATTTTTCAATATTCGCAATGTGCATGTGCAGAATCTGAAAAATGGACAGAGAGAGATTATTTTGAGATTGGTTATATACAGAAATATATTATTTTGTTTAATTCTAATGGAAGAATGAAGTGGTCTTCTATGAGAAGACCAAGTCGTCTTTTAAGAAAATCCCAAATCGTTTTCAAAGAAAAAATTAAGTCGTCTTCTAAGAAAAGGCTAAGTCGTCTTCTAAGAAAAGGATAAGTTGTCATCTAAAAAAAGAACAAGTGGGTCAATATTGTCCATCTCGTATGGGATCTAAATAAATATGATATAGTATTGTGACGTGCCGGGTTTATTATCGACTTCTTCTTTCATTTTATATGAGATATGTGATAATTTTTGGAAAATGTTAAAATGTGCGTGAGTTCATACTTCATCTGGTACAGATAAAAATATCGGTATGGGCAAAATTACAAAAAAAATCGAAGATATATATCCAATTTTATGCGAAATCATTAATTCCATATACAGGGTTGTCCATATTCGACGGACCCATCTGGCAACGCCATAACTTTTGACAGAGATGTCACATCGCTTAATGACATACCGCGTTTGAAGCGTCAGTCCAAGCAGATTTTTACCATGAACCAATACACGCGCCCTGAAATAGTTGAAATTTACATTCAACAGAAGAAGTCAATTGTGGAAAAAAAAAAATGTGAGAAGTGCGCCTTCTAAGAACACCATTAAGCGTTTATACGAAAAATTTTCGACTGGTAAGGCTCTTTCTAATCCGAAGAGGCCATATAAAAGTCGACCAAGGCGATCGACCGAGAATATCGCTGCCGTACGAGTCAGTGTTGAGAGCTCCCCAAGAACATCCCAAAAACGCCGTTCTCAGCAGTTGGGCATGGCTCGGTCCACTTTACAACGGATTATTCGCATTGATTTGCATTTGTTCCCGTACAAAATTCAATTGACGCAAAGAATGTTGCCTGCGGGCAAGCCTCGTCGATTGGAATGGGCCCAAAGGTCCGTCGAATATGGGCAACCCTGTATATCACAGGCTTCTGAATGAAAGAAATATGAAATTTGAAAATAATCGCTGACTTTTTTCGCAAAATATGACAGATAAAAGTATTGGAAATTGTGACCCTTTGTGTGTGAGGTACCAGAGTGAGTTTGTAAATATATATCATCTTCACAACATATCTTGCGTTAGCAAAAATGTTTGTGTGTGTGAAATTTGAAGAAAGTTGGATGCTTATTTCGTTTTCTTTGAAGGTTGTGTTTTCCAAAACCTTGAACCATATGTGGGTAGGTATAAGAAGAAATGATCCTATCTCTACCATCTTTATAACTGATCTTGTGTTGATAGAAATATTGAGATGTACCAAGTCTGAATGGAATCGGATGTTAATGAGCTTCATGGATATTCAATATTTTGACACTTTGTGGGGGAAGTATTAGAAGGAGTGGACCCATACATCTTCACAGCAGATCTTGTGTTAGTAGAAATAATGGGATGTGTAACATATGAAGGAATCGGTTGCTTATTTCGGATTTTATGATCATTTTGGGGGAGGTACCAGAAGGAGTGGACCGATCTATACCATCGTTATAAAATACTTTTAGATGAGAGAAATATTGAGATGTGCCAAGTCTGAATAGGATCGGATGTTAATTTCGCGTTTTATGAGCTTCATGGATATTCAAAATTTTGATCCTTTGTGGGGGAGTTACCAGAAGGAGTGGACTGATATATTCCATCTGCACACAAGATCTTGGATTAACAAAAATATTATGATTTGTGTAATTTGAAGCCGATCGGACTGTTGCATTACATTTTATAAGAGTTATAATTATTTAAAATTTTGACCCCTTGTGGGCTAGGTGCTTGATGGAGTGGACCGATATTATCTATTTTCGCACCTGACTTAACACTGATGCAAATTTTAGGATTTGCAAAGCTGGAGCAGAATCGGATTATCGTTTCGTTTTCTGTGCAGTAAATTTTTTTTGGAAAATTTCGATGTTTTGTGGAGGAGGTATCAGAATATTGCCCATCTCCGAACTCGATCTAAGTTTGATAATAATATTACTATGTACCAAGTTTGGGCCGAATCGGATACTTCCTTTGAGAGTTATCGTGCGCACAAGCCAGACAGAATGTTCTGAAACGGATTTGGTCCAAAGAGGCCTAAGAGAGAATACTACGACCCAGTTTTAAGAGTGTTTTTAGCCATATTTTGAAAAAATGGTCCAAAAAATAAATAAAAAATAATCCTAGTATTTTTACAGTAATATTGCTTTATCCTTTACAATTTAATGCACAAATTCCAAGGAATATTAATCCAAAACTTTCCAAAGATATGGAAGAAGGGGAATCTTGCCCTACTCTATTTAGGTTTCTTTGTGATGTAAAATTTAAAAACACACGCATACACATGTCTCCTATTTTTAGCTCTATTCAATAGTGCACAGAATTTTTAATTTTGAGAAATTTTAATTTTGTCGCTTTGTATTATTAATGGTATACCTTTCTTTTTATTATGAAAAAAAAAAAAACTCGATTATTTACCTTAAAAATTTTTTTATACCAAAAAAACTCTTAACCTAATGCCAAAAGATTTATATACTCAGTGGCGTATACTTTATTTTAAAATTTGTATTTTCATACGGCATTGATCATACGCTGCGCTGTTCCTTGTTTATCTTTGCAAAAATTGAATATTCCTCTTAATACAAAAATCGTCAATATCAATACATTATCGATTTAGGTTTTTTATGGAAAATCGAAAAGAAAAAAATTTCCATCACAAACGTACACACAATAATTCCTTTCCAATAAACTGTCTGTCCCACTTTAGCTGCAATGTTTATTTAGGGGAGAGAGAGCAACAAAAATCCAATATTCCAAAAAAAAAAAAAAACATTCGCTACAACAAACGTTGCAAATCACCCGAAAATTTGAAATGATGATTGTTTATTTATCAGCCATGAACTATTTATTTAACTGTTTATTGGGGAATAGGAAGGAAAAAGGGGGTAGGGGGTTGGGCAAAAGCGGAGAAGAAAAACTGTTGTCAAGCATTTTCGTTAAATTGCCGTTCAAACGATTGCTACAAAAAAAGAAAAACGTCATTTCAAATGATATGCCATGAATTTATTGCCGAAATGTTGGATATCTTCCAAACAAGTAGGGTCAATGAATAAAATTTTATCCATGTCCATGTATGTGTGTAGAGAGTGTTTGAAAAGGGAGAGAGAGAGAGGAAAGGAAATAGGATTGTCAATCTGTCGGTCTTCGCCCCATCACATTTTAAATCAATAAATCATAACTTTCACAAAAGAAATTTTAATTGAATTTCTAAAGATTTAAATCATTATCAACACTCAAACACTCGTACATACTTGAGTAGCAAATCGAAATTAATGTCAGATTCTAAGTAGAAGAGATTAGGATTTGTAAATATTTATTTGTAAACAAAAAGCTGATTCGAAAACGTGTTGTGAGATAGACAGTGCGATAAGCCATATTAGTATATATGTACACTGACGAATTAAAAAAAAAAACATATTTTAAGGATAATAGATATTTTTCAATATTTGGTTTAGACCAAGAGGTCTGAAAATACACACTAAATCACGCGGAGCTATTTAGAATATCTGAAGTGTTTTATTGCTTACTCAGAGACCAACTACAATACATTTTCAAAAGAAACAGCGAAGTTTCCATCAAATTTATAATTTCAATTCAAAATTCAGAACAGTACGGGAGAGTTCTGGACCAAACTACCCAAGAGTCCAGATCGATAAGGCGAATTTATTGGAATTCAAATAAATCAGAAACTAATCAATATTTGCTTCCACTTTATCACCTTTATAGACAGCTTAACACTGGGGTGCTACGTAAATCAATGAATATCACTGTTTTAAAGATCTGGTGTCTGGGTAGCGACTACATCAACTGTCCATAAGGAATAACAAATTTAAAGATTAAATCAACTCCCTGAATAACAACATGTCATCTTCTACGATGAAGGAGATTTTCATTTTTTTCCTATGGTCAAAGAAACTAGGATTTTCCAACATTTTTTTTCAAGGGATGAAACGATAGAGAATTTAAATTTTTTTTTTTTGAATACTAAAGTGAATGTGAATTTTTTATATGACGAAAAAATGGGCGATACTGTCGTCTCAACTGCAGAGAAGGCACGGTCTAAAAACAGAAGGGGACTGTCAAAAAAAAAAAAAAAAAAAAAAAAAAAAAAAACCGTTGCGTTGGAGCTTTGATAAGGGATGTGCATCGGATAAACCAGGATAACTCGTTCCCCAGTGGTAAGACGCTATGGAAAGAAGGTATTTGGATGAAAGGCTTTCCGTCAGCACTCCTACTGTTTCTGAGAGAGTCGACAACAAGGTGGCTAAATAAAGGAAGGGTTATAAATCTTCTGTAGACTGTAGACTTCTGTGGACATATTTCGACTGGGATATTTCAAATATAACGGCGATGGAGAAGCTCTTTATCAAAATGAAGCTAGTGACTACCAAGCTTAAAGTAGACTGTTCAACTATAGAAAAAAATTTGATGGAGACTGTTCAACTATAGAAAAAAAGTTGATGGAGCTATTTTTTGGAGAACCAACCGACAGATGGCGAAGCTGACTTATGGCACTTCTAATCTAAGTGTGTAGATATGAGAAAGCTACAACTTAGTGTCGGTTTCGACACCAAAGCTAATGTAGATTAACTGGTCACTATAGCAGAGTAGCTGTACATTAAAGGCTACTGTTGTAGAGTCCCTGGACTCGGTGCAGAGTAGCTGGCCATTGATGTAGAGTCGGAGGCCACTGCTGTTGAGTTTCTTGCCTCAGATACCACTGCTGTGGATTACCTGGGTCACAGATCATAGCTGTAGAGTAGCTGGTCTCGGAGGCTATTGCTGTAGAGTAGCTGACCTCAGAGAGCACTCCTGTAGAGTAGCTGGCCCCAGATGCTACTGCTCTAGATTAGCTGCCCTCTGAGGCCATTACTGTAGATTTGCTGACCTTGGGACCA